CATGTATATACACACATCCTATTGGTCCTATTTCTCTGGAGAACACTGACCAATACACATACTAGCTAATTCCATTTATATTACATACTTTAAATGACAAAATTATAGGAATGGAGGAAAGATTAGTGGTTGCCACAGTTTGGGAGTCAGTAAGGATAAGAGGGAAATAGGTGTGGCCATCCAAGGGCAACATGAGGGATCCTTGTGGCAATGGGAATGTTCTGTATCTTTACTACTGATGTGAATATCCTGTGATACTATACTGTAGTTTTACAAGATGTTACCATTGGAGGAAACTGGGGAAAGGCTATATGGGAATTCTGTATTCTTTCTTACAACTACATGTGAAACTACAATTATTTGAAAAAGTTTAACTTTGAAAAAGTAAAACAAAATATATCTGTTTTGATTATTTTATTGCAACCCTCCTTGAGGTCTGGGATCATCTAGAACTTAGATGATCACTCAGATGAATAAACAATCCCCCAGCACCTGTAGCATTAAATAGCATAACATCATCCCAGTTTAACAAGCCAGAAACCTATCTGCCATCCCGAGTTTTTCCTCTCCCAAAACAATTAGGAAAAAGTCCAGCTTCATTGCCAAAATATATCTTGAATTTGTTACTTCTCCTTCCCTGCTACCACCATTATTTTGGTGGTCAATAGCAAGTATGAACTGTTGTAAGAGCCTTGCAATTAATTGTGTCTCTCCTCTTTCACGGGTACCCCACCCAATCCACCCCTCACTCAACAGCATGAGTAATATTAAAACATACAATGGATCATATCCCTGCCATGCTTAATCCCTTCCAGTGAGTTCCCATTGCCCTTGGCATGAATCCAAGCTCATTCCCATGGCTTTCAAAGCCCTGCCTGAATACAGCTGCTGTCTATTTCCCTAGTAGTATCTCTTGCCACTTTCTCTTGCTCCCTTGCTTTAACCAAACTTCTCTTATTCTTCAACCTAAGATTTTTCCTCCCTCAAGTTTGGCACACACTTTCCCCCTCCACCCCGCCTGCCCATTCTTCAGGTACCAAGGAAAAAGACATCTCTTCAAAGAACATTTTTCTGAACTCATTTTTCTAAAGTGGGCGCCCCCTGTTGTCCTCTTCCTCAGTATTCATTTTGTTTCTTTTATAGAATGTAAGCCCCATAAGAGCAGAGACCTGTGTGTTCTGTTCCCTGTTGTAACTGGTGCCTAGCAAAATGCAGTGTAAATACTGCATTTATTGAACGTTAAATCAATAAATGTCCAATGCCAGCCTCAGATTCCTCCTCCCCCACTGCAAGAAAGCACGTGGCAACTCTTCTTGAACTTCCTTTATTTATTAAACAAATACTTATTGAGTGTACCAGGCACTCTCACAGGCGCTGGAAATAAAACGGGCAAGGTCTCTGCATTCATGGGACTTAGGCATGGTGGGGAAAGTGGAACACAATAAATAATAGACAAGTAAATAATAAAATAATAAATTTTAATTAAAATAATTTTAATATTTAAACAATTAAATATTTTAATTATTATTAATATAACAGCTAATATGTCATAGATAACAATTTTATATTGTTATAATTATTCATTAACTTATTATTTAAATGTTTAATGTTTTAATTATAAAATATTAGTAACTAAAATTTCAAGCATAAGTGCTATGAAGAAAATAAAGCAGAGTAACAAGACTGAGAATGAGTTGGAAGGTGTAGGTGGTGTCCACCTCAAGAAGCCTGGCTAGAGAGTCTGAGCTGTCATCTGAATGCAGAGGTGTCAGGCCACATACAAATCTGGAGCAGACAGCTCTAGGCAGAGGCCCATGGAGTACAAAGGTGCTGAGCCTGCAACACATTAAACAAGTCTGAGGCCAGTGTGGCTGAGCAGAAAAGGAGGAGAGGAGTAAGAGAGAAGGTCTCAGCGTCAAGAAATGAATGCTACACCAAATTCGCCTCTCCTGCCACAGTAAAGAATGTGGGTTTCCTTCTAAGGGTGATTGGGAAGCCTCTGGATACTTTTAAGCAAAGAGGGTTATGGTCTGATTTAATTTTTAAATCATTGTTGGCTGTGCTGTCAAAAGGGACTGTAGGTTAAGAATGGGAACAGGGAGGCCAGGTAGTCAGGAGAGATGCTGGTGGCTTGGACCAGAGAGTAACTAGAGAGGGGGAGAAGAGGCAAGCTACAATAAGGGCAAATCTGACTCAGCAATCTTAAAATACACTGAACTTCCTCAGGGACAAGGAGTTTCCAGTACTCCCTTGCGCTCCTAGTTTGGCCCAATTTGAACTTACTTGATTCGGTTCCCCAGAGATATCTTTGCATTACCCGCACCCGCCCCAATGAAAGAGGAATGCAGCATGCTCTTTCTTCCCTTTAATAGAAATAAGCTAAAGTCTTGTGTTACTGAAAGGAAGATAAATAATGAAAAAAGAAGAGGCTCTTTTCTATACTTGGAAACTCTCACCACCTACAGCTATTGGTATCTATTACGAAGATTAAATTAATCACGATGTAATCAAAATCTGACCTAATGGGTTTAAAGTGTGAAGCCTCAAGAACCATACAGAACTGGTTTCACCCCACCCAGCCGGGATCTCTTGGTGATTATGGGCACTGAAGCACCTCTCTGAGCGGCCCCCAGCCCGACAGCAAATCACAAAAAGCCTGACTTTATCACAGCCAGGGAAACACGAAGATACGTCCATGCCATCGGACCCGCAACTCCTTTGGTGGGCACTTGGGCAAACTCTCCTGAGAGGCCGAAATGGAATTGCAGTCTTCCCAGGGCTAAAATCCATCAAGGCAATCACCGTAGCTGACTCCCTCCACCCCCACCCCGGAGATAGTTTCAGCCCATCCCTAAACAGTGCAGAGATTACTCATTTCCGAGCAAGAGCAGAACAGGAGAGGTGCTGGCTAAACCAGAGGAAACTGGTCTGGGTGGCTCAAGGTCCCGCGTCTGTCCGGGTTAGCGAGAGCGCTCTCCCAATGAAGAGGAGGACAGCTTCCTGCACGCACGCGCAGCTCCGACCCAGCAGGAAAAGTTAAAGGCTCACCTGAACCCACGCCGCATTCAAGCCCATCTCTGTCTCTTAAAAGGAAGATTCAAAAAACAAAGGTTGGTAAAAATCAGAAGGTAACTCATTTTTCACAGCCGCCCAAAGACTTTTTTGCAGTGTCAGTGGATAGCAGTCCTCCCAGGGCTAGGATTTTCTGTCCCTGGAAAATGATTGCTAAATTCTCTCCTGATTGTGGACGCTCTGACAAGTGGGCGTGCGCATCACCAGCCCAAACTGGTGCAGAAAGCCAGGCACTGGTTATGCACTAACGTCAGTGTGAGCTAACTGGGCTAACTTTGCTCCCCAAAGCTTAGCTCTACAACGGAGAGTCCCTTACGTTATGATGACCGGGTTAATCCATGTAAAATGCTGAGAGCAGCGCCTGGCAACAAGAAACAACTCAATAAAGTTTAACTATCACTAATAGTATTCGTTAGTATTTTTCTACAAAAAAAAACAAAACTGTATGAGTGTTTGTGATTCCGTTTGTCTGTTCTTATACATTGTGAACTCCTAAGTGTCTTGTTGATCTCATGCATTTCAGAGCCTGGGACTGTGCTGGGCTCAAGTTTGTGGTTTGAGCTGAATTACTTATTCAGTTGGGTTGCCCCATAGAGGTAATAGAAATAAAAGGGTGGTGGTGAAATAAAAGACACATTAAATCAGAGTCTCCCTTACCTCTTCATTTTGTCACTGCTTCTTCATAACATCCTGGTTTAGGGGACTGTCAGTTAGAGATCTCCTCTGCTGGGAACTGGTTCTGGCTGAGCCTCAGTGGAACCAAGTGACAATAGTTGCCACATACAGTTCAAGCTCAGCAAATTTTGATACTGTCTGGGCTCCCACAGGGACTGAACATTATAGAGGAGACACAGAAGGGTACAGACTCGGGGTGCCTGGGTGGCTCAGTCAGTTAAGCCTCTGCCTTTGGCTCAGGTCATGATCCCAGAGTCCTGGGATCTAGCCCCACATCCACACATCCGGCTCCTGGCTCAGTGGAGAATCTGCTTATCCCTCTCTCTCTGCCCCTCCCCCCAGCTCGGGCTCTCTCTTGCTTGCTCTCTCTTAAAAAAAATAAATAAAATCTTAAAAAAAAAAGAAGGGTACAGACTCAAGCCAAATGAGCAGATTTATTTGAGACTCTACACTCCAACAAGCACCTCTAGACATACACCAAACCAATAATAATAATTGCAAAAACAATAACAACCTACATTTTGCTGAGCACTTATTATGCACTAAGCTAACCACTTTCCTATCACATTTAATCCATATAGCAAAACAAAGTGTGTTCTGTTTTCATTTTATTCAATGAAAAACTAAGGCACAGAAAAGTCACTGGGAGCCAACTGCTTAAGGTGATACCTACCACCAGTAAAACGTTGAGATTCGAACCCAAGTTCATAGCTCTCGGAAGCTCATTCAGATAAACCACTCAAGCCTACAATGGCCTCTGGCCAAACAGCCCACCTCTAAAGCACAAACAACACAGTTCTGGTTCTCTGTAGAGCAGAGTGCAGCATGCCTCCCATGTCCCTCGTCTTTGTCATCCCCACAACATGAAACGTCAACCCAGCATCTCATCTTCTACAGAAGACCCCAAAGAATTCTTTTTTCACCTGTTCCTGGTTACTGGTGTACTTAACGTGTTAAAGTGTGACCACCTCTGGTTTGTGACTTATGCCTGAGGGACCTGCTCCCATTTTCTTTTGCTGGTGCACAAGTTTGAAGCCACAAGTCATTAAGGCAAAGCATTTATTGATTAGATTCTCCTCCATATTCAGCCTCTGCTGAAATCAGATTTTAAAGGTAATGGCCACGCTGCTTCATTGCCTTGCTCCTCCTCCTCTAATGTATAACTAGTAGAAAGCTGGAGAAAGGCTGGGCAGCTGCATGTGCCACACTCACCACAGGACTTGGAATTACGAGGAGGACTCTCAACCGATAAAATGACAGAAGATAAGGTAAAGTAGCATTATGTTCGTTTTAAATCAGCTTGAGGAAATGGATAGGGGGATTTGTTCAAGTCGGTGACCCTAGGGAGGATTTGGGGGATGTTGGGTGTAGCTACCACAGATTGAAGCTACTTCTCTTGGCCAACTGATAGTTCATTTAGCTGCAAAAATATGTATCATATTCAGTATTTTATATATCTATTCAGAATTTTAAGGATATTTGCTCTGTTTTCTGAGCAGTCTGTGTAACTTTCTCAAGTGATTCTGCATAACCATATTACTGAAGGAATGTGCAAAAAAAGGGTAGATTAACCTGAATCTAACTAATCATGAAAATTGGTCAGAAATTTTCAAAAATGACAATGAATGAAAAACAAGAAGCAGAAGGACTGTTCTAGATAAAAGGAGACTAAGAACTGACAACCAAGTGCAGCAAGTGATCTTAGATCCTGGAAAGAAGAAAACAGCTGTAAGGGACAATATGGGGACAGTTGGGGAAATTTCGAAAATGGGCTGTTATATTAGATAATATTAGTATATCTATTACATTCTTGGATATGATGATGGTATTGTAATTATGTAGGAGAACGTCTTCATTCTTAGTGAGTACATGCTAAAGTATTTAGGAATGAAGTGACGCTAATATCTGCAACTGATTTTCAAATGATTCCAACCACACTACATACATACCTGTGCACGCACACACATACACAGTGAAAGTTAAACAAATGTAAATGTTAACCATTCCTGAACACAGGTTATGGGATGTTCACTGCCTTACTTTTTCAACTTCTCTATAGATATGATACTTGCCAAAATAAAAACTTAAAAAGGTCATAGTGCTGTCGTTCTCTTACAAGTTTTCCCCAACCAAACACACCCCCCCTTCACACAATCACACAAGTAGGTAAATCTGTAGCCCTCTTAGAGTAGGATATCTAAAGTCCTGGCCTGTTGTAACTTACTCTGCTGAGCATTTCTTCATGTGAGTAAGTGACAAGGCTAGGAGCACAGACTTGGCGGTTAGCCAGGCTTGGATTTGGAGTGTGATGATGCTACTTACCTGCTGTGAGACCAAAGTTAAGTTATTTACCTGAGCTTGGGTTTTCTATATTGTGACAAAATAAGAACATATTGGGATATAATAAGAGGATATAAGATATACAGGGATTCTAATAGTTCTTTATAGTCTGGGAGTATTTAAATGAGCTAGTATTTGAGAGACAGATGACAAATATTTTAATGTTAATAATCATGCATTTGCATGATGTATTTTAAAAATAACTAGGACTTCATGATTTCCTATTATAGCCCAGGATAAAGCTAAAGTAGTTAGCATTTTAAAGGTGATATAAAGACAAATATTAAGTTAATAACTATACAGATAGTATGTAGATTTGGCAAAAATAATAAAGGTAGTGTTCAAATAACTAAAGTTTGTAAGAGACTGCAAAAGGGAAGGTAATATGCTTACCACAGTGTCTGACACATAGTAAACGCTCAAGCTCCATTTTGAACTATCACTAAATTCCCTTTAGAAATTGTTGTAGGACTTTTCTTGAGAACCAAGGAATCGCTTAATAATGGAACCCAGAAATAATGAGAACTGATGTAAAGCACGATGTTTCAGCTTTGTAAATCTGCCCAGACTTTGAAAGAAGTGGGATAAGCATGGAACTGAGGGTTAGGAGACCTGAGTTCTCACACTGAATATACCCAATAATGTACTGTCTAACTCAGACAAAGGACCTGAATTCAGTTTCTTCAAGTGGAAAATGAACAACTTAGATTAGAATCCTCTGTTCTCTAAGGTCCCTTTCAACATGAAAGTTCTATGGCTTGAGAGGCCCCTGGAGTTTTCCAAAGTTGGGTGCAAGATCACCTTTAGGTTGGCATTTGGAGCCATGCAGTTTAGAGGAAAGACATCAGCTTCTCCTCCCTGCCAGTCAGTCTGTAGCTGCTGAAAATCTGCTTTTTTGCTTAGAAATGGGAGTTTAAGAACACCAGCACTGGGTTCAAATGCTAGAATATCTGTTACTTACTAGCTGCATGGTATTGAGCATATCACTTAATCTTCTATAAGCCCTGGTTTCCTCACCTGTAAAATGGGGATAATTTCTTTTACTTTGTAGTATTGTTGTGAAGATTATTGGTGACATATGAAAAGCTGACAGGTGGTTGGTTGACAAGAGAGATAAATGATGTGCTAATGTGATTAAAGATGTAATTGTTTTATAGTTCTTTCATTATTTATAGGAAGACCACATTAGTATCTTTTTTTTTTAAAGATTTTATTTATTTATTTGAGAGAGAGAGAATGAGAGACAGAGAGCACAAGAGGGAAGAGGGCGCAGAGGGAGAAGCAGACCCCCTGCTGAGCAGGGAGCCCGGTGTGGGACTCGATCCTGGGACTCCAGGATCATGACCTGAGCCGAAGGCAGTCGCTTAACCAACTGAGCCACCCAGGCGCCCCACATTAGTATCTTATTTAATCTTTATGATATCCATTTTTTGGCAAAGAAGCAGATTCAGGGATATTAAGGGCCTAGCTGGTAGTCTTCTAGGTTTTCTGAATTCCAAGTCTATTTGTTTTTTCTAACAAACCCCATCTAATTTCTAAGCCACAAAATAAATACCACATTTTGTTTTATGTTAGGGTTCAGCCACTTGCCCATTCTGTGTACTCCCACATTTATCCTGTGGCATATCTTTCATTGGATGTGGAACCTGGTTTCTCTAACTTAAAATTGTTAAGCTCTAAGTGGGGGTAGTCTTTCTAAGAGTCAGGGTTAATATCTTGTTGCCTATGAAGAGGTGAGAGACAAAGCTTGAAGATCTTCAGCCACTTTGTAGGTATATGGCTTTGGACAAGTTCCTTACCCTTTGTGTACTGGTTTTTCCATATGTGACATGATAATAATAATTACTACCTACAGAGTTGTTGAAAGAACAGAGCCTGGACAAAGTAAGATCCTAAGTTCTCACTGTTTCATTAGCTCCTATGTACCTACCCTCAGTCAACCTCTTGGACACTAGATTAATGGATAGGATTGATGGGCTAATTCAGACTTAACAGTCTTCAGAAATTTCCCTTCTCATAAACAAAACTTTTCTGTCCAAGCCTAGTACCAAAATATATAGAAGATTGAATATAAATGTTATCTCTTTCATTTCACTACAGAAAAAGAAAAGATGGAAAGCAAAGAGCCAGTTTAAGGTAAGGTTCAGAGAGGGAAATTAAACCTAAAAGTAAAACAAAAAAGAAAGAAAGACAGAGAAAAAGAAGGAAGGAAGGAAGGAAGGAATAAAAGTTTCAGAGACTTCTGTATTTGGGATTATCACTTTCGTTGGAAATTCAAGTGACCTTCTTAAAATTGATAACATTGTTCCTTACCTGACCGACTAGGTAAAATTCTTATCTTAGGAAGTTAAAGTGGGGAAACTGCAGCCCTGCCCCCGCAAGATGGCAAGACCAAAGCCAACTCTGAAAAAAGAAGCCAAGAAGACCAGAGGACAAGGACTTTAAGGACACTCTAAGATTTCTAAATGTCTAAAAATTCTATTTCCTTTACAGTTCCTTTTTTCTGTTACTCCTATAACATGAGAAATTGGTCTTAGGGGCAGCCCCAGAATTGCTATAGTAATGACTTAGAACAATTTGATTAGAAAGTAATGAGACAGGAGCTCCAGAGAACTTAACTCTTTGAAAATTAAATTTCATTTTTATCAAAGTAATGTGGAGCAGCTAACACTGTTGTGACTTAGAGTGTGTATTTGGAGTGGCAGAGGAGAGCCGATGGAGATTATGGGGAACCAAATCTGCTACGGCCACCACCTTCACCCCTAACTTCCATTTCCATAGCACCCCTGCTCACCATTGGCATAGTGACTAGTTGGGTTGTTAAAATAAGAAGAAAGGAGCTATATGATTGTCTGGTGGGGGCAGGAGAAGAGAGCCAGTAGAGAGCGGAAGCCCAGGGATGGAGTGGGAAGGGCAGTCACTAAGACACCAAGTGCTTGGACATTCTGCTACAGGAAGAAAAGGAGATGCAGGGATGCAACTGGCCCTGGGCTTGGTGGTGGGAAGGCCATGAGGTTCTTCTTCAGCTGAGCTACAGAGGAGCAGTTGAGTAGTTTTTTCCCTTTAGTATTTTTGTACAGAAATGTCACAAAAATTTTCTGTGGATAGATGAGGAAGGAGGGGATTTGTGTGGCGGGTAGTGGGAAAATGCACTTGAAACTGGTGGGTGTTGGTGAGTTGGCTTCAGCATCACACTTGGCAAATTCTACGAATATGTGTGCTCTTAGATTTTTTTTTTTATTTAGAAAGATTATGATCCTAGATTTTTAGATGTGCTTGACTTTTGAATGTCTGTTTCTGACCAATGAGAAATTCAAAATAACCAATTAGTTAAAAGCATAGGGTCTGGATCTAAGTCATTATTGCACAAGTTACTGACTGTGAGACTGTAACCTAGTCTAGTTATCTATAAAATAGGGTTATAGTGCTGTCATGAGAAGTGTCCATTACTTGGTCTCCAGGATGTGTAAATATGTTACCCTAAAAGGCAAAAAGGACTTTACAAATGTCATTAAGATTATGGACCTTGAGATAGGAAGATTAACCTGGATTATCCAGATAGGCCAAATCTAATCTCATAACTTCTTCAAGGGGGAGAACTTTTCCGGCTATAGTTAGGATCAGAGAGATGCAACGTGAGGACCTGACCAGCCCATTTCTGGCTGTGAAGATAGAGAAAGGACACCACTAACCAAGGAATGTGGTGGCCTCTAAAGCTGGGAATGGCCCTCACTTTACAGCCAGCACAAAAACACAGATCCTGGTTCTACAGCCATGAGGTACAGAATTCTACCATCAACCCAAATTTTCCCCAACAGCCTTCAGAAAGGAACACAGCCTGCCAACATCTTAATTTTAGTCGTACCAGACTTCTGATGTACAAGAACTGTAAGATAACAAACTTGTGTTATCTGTTTTAGCTGCAAGAGAAAACCGATACAGTTAAAAGAGACAATCACATAGAGCAAAAGATAGGCATGCAGTAGGCAGAAATATTCAGGATTAGGCCTTGAAGTTGTGTTTGCATTGCACCTAATATCAAATTGTCTAGATTGTAGTGACGGAGACTATCAGGGAAGTGGGTGGAAGCCTTGTCAAGGTGCCCTCTGGTCCCCTCACGGCTGATGATGGTTACTTACTACAAATAAAATGAAAGGATAAAATTTTCTGTCCCTGGAAACAGCTGAAGGATAAAAAGGATTTGAGGAGAAACCAGCAAGTAAATGGAACCCATTTTAGCTTTGGTTGCCTGAGGCACTAGGTATTAGATATCTAGTTACATATTAAAGGATAATTCAAAATCTCTGGTAATCCCATACCATGTAGCATATTTGTGTGTGTATGTGCACACACACACAAACCTGTGCACACAGGTACATTTTACAGTTAACATACTTTGAATTTATTTGTAATAATTTTATTATGTATATGCATATATGATTTATATCTCAATATATATAATGTATATTATATTATATATATATGCTTCTTTCAGGATATATATAGATACAGGATATATATGCTTCTTTTAGGATAATATAATATTATCATATCTTTGGAGAAAATTTTAAGTCCTTTCAGGAAGGAAGTTGCTGGGAAGAAAAGCCTACAGAGGTGCCACCTGAAATTAATTCTGAATTAGTGGAAAGAGAACAAACCTACAGATTCCCAATTCTCACCACAGAGATTCCAATCCAATAGTAGGTCTGGGGTAAATCCCAGGAAGCTACACCTATAACAAGCTCTCCAATGAGGGTCTGGTTTTAGAACCCCTAGATTCCGTAACTTCAAGGCTCTCAGGCTGGTTCTGTGATAATACTTTGTTGATGATGACACTGAAATTTCTAATCTCCGGCTTTATTAGGGAATGAGAGGACTTGGGTTAATAAGCTACTTTTCATGCTGGAGTAGGGATTTACAATCATCCCCCTACTTAGAGAAAAACTGAAGATCCTACAGGAAAAGTGATTTGGGTCATATGCTCCCTAAACATGAGAGTGGGAACTAGAATTCATGTTGATATGACTCATTCATTTGTTCAGTGAAGCTTCTACAATATCCCATGTTATTTATTTAAACATTTAAATTATGTAATTATACAGGAAATCATTCCCTTATAAAATGTCTGATAATATAAATAAAAGAAAAAATACTCGTTTATCCCCCTTCTCTAGTCTCACATTCTTCCTCAGTGGTCATCCTTTTGTTATCTGTTCTTCAAGAAAATATTCTGTGACTTACATACAACATACACAAATCAAAGAATGCTCAAGTTTAAGCCTTTTAAAAAATTAATGAGATTACACAGCTTCCTTTATCACTTAACAGTAAATCAGTACAAAATGATCACATTACTCTAGCTGCAGCACAGCATAGTTGTATGTGTCATGATGTATTTGAATCTATCTGGCCATTTTCCATTGAATGACATTTTGGTTCTTTCTACAATTTTTGCTATCACACACACACACACACACACACACACACAATGCCACAATGCTGCATAAAATATCCTGATATGAGATTCTATATGTATGATATGATTTCTCTAAGATGGTTAGACATGTAACTATGAGTTGAAGGGAATGAATGTTCTGTCCCTTTCTACACTGAGTTTTGTAGCTACATGGAGTTGGAAAGAAAATAACATCCTTCAATCCATAACTCTAGATTCAACTAGTTGCAAATCTTAGAAATTATCCTTACCTGGATATTGATGTGGTCATGATAAAGCCTGGCTGATGCTTCTTGTATGAGTTTTGAGGTGTTTTTGTACCATAACAATGCCCAGGAGACCTCCCTATCTTTTTGTTACTGGTGTCTTTTTTACCTCTCCAAATGATATAAATTGACTGTTTTTATCACAGTGGTTTCCTTTGGTCAGCAGCAATTCTAGTCTTCAAACCTCATTTTGAATCTTAAATATATGTATGGAAAAGGATATTTGGTTCCTCTCTTGGAAGAAATTGTCCCAAACTTTTCTCAGCTTTAGCAGTGTAGGGCCTTTGATGAATGGCTCTTGCATTCTCATATGAATGAGGCCTGTTGGGAGCATAGGGCACACTGTGAATGAGGACCAAGGAGCAAGAACCAGCCTGTTGAGACTGTCAGAAGTCCAAGCTGCACACTGACACGATGGTAGGTAACTGAAATTGCCTTGTGTTTCGCAGCCCTGTGTTTCATTCCCCACAGATCACCGGGACCTTGGTTTTCACTGTCTTCACTGCTGCACTGGGTTCCTTCCAGTTTGGATATGACATTGGTGTGATCAATGCACCTCAAGAGGCAAGTGACACATGTACAATTCAAATCTCTTTTTGGCAATTTCTGTCAGTGACTGAAAGATCTGTGTTCCTCATACCCAGAGATAAAGTGTGTCCACGTGGGGAACATAGGGTAATCCCAGCATTCTGTCAGGCACCACATGTGTGGTTTCAAAGCTGATAACTTGGCCTTGGCTTCTCAGTAACCCTCACAAAGAAAGGGCAATAAACAATTCTTGATCTCTGACTCTGCTGTTCGCTGAGCTCACAGAAAACTCCAGCCAGAATACCACGTGCCTACAGATGTTGTTTTAAAAAACTTAAGAGCTTATTGCAACATTTATTCAGAGCTCCCAGCCATATGTGAGTAAAAAAATGAACGAAAAATGCTGGGGAGTAAGAGGAAGCAATAGAAGGATTTATTTCACTTTATGCATAAGCTTTTACTGGGCACCAACTCACTGTGCATCAGGTGCTTTAACATATGTTCTCCTTAGTCTAACCTCCAAAAACCTTATTATGCCCAATCACAGGCCAGATGAAACACTTTAGGAGCCCTAACACTAAGAAGGTCCTATCCTTCCCCCTAATTCTGTCCCTCCTAGCTAATCCAAAGTAAAATAATATATAACTGCTAAGTAATAGTCTGGAAGTCCAACAAAATTTGGATTTCTCCATGATAACTATTTGGATGGGTGTTTTTAAAAATATTGAATAATTTCTATCATTTGTCTCATTTATTTTGTGCAGCCCTACTCTGGTATACAATGAATAAACAGGAGTGGGATGTCATTTTTCTCAGCTCCCACAGTCTGTAAGTGGGGGAACCAAGACTTCATTCCCTTTGCTCTAATTAAGGCTGAAAGGTCATTTAGGGCAGGATTGTCTTCCTCTTCCTGTCACCAGTGCCAAGCAGAATGATTAGCATAAAGGTGTTCAATAAAGTGGTTAGTTAGGAAAGAGAGGAAGAAAGGAGAGAAGCTGGGGGGGGAGCGGTATAAAATGAAGGTCCAAGGATTTGTTGGGTGCCTTCTATGAATACATCATATTTTTTTTTAATTATGTTATGTTAGTCACTATACAATACATCATTAGTTTTTGATGTAGTGATCCACGATCCATTGTTTTCGTATAACACCCAGTGCTCCATGCAGTACATGCCCTCCTTTATACCCATCACCGGGCTAACCAATCCCACCTCCCCCCTTCCCTCTAAAAGCCTGCTTGTTTCTCAGAGTCCATAGTCTCTCAAGGTTCATCTCTCCCTCCAATTCCACCCCCCTCATTTTTCCATTCCTCCTCCTAATGTCCTCCATGCTATTCCTTATGTTCCACAAATAAGTGAAACCATATGATAATTGACTTTTTCTGCTTGACTTATTTCACTAAGCATAATCTCCTCCAGTCCCATCCATGTTGATGTATAAGTTGGATATTCATCCTTTCTGATGGCTCAGTAATATTCCATTGTATATATGGACCACATCTTCTTTTTTTTTTTAAAGATTTTATTTATTTATTTGAGAGAGAGAGAATGAGAGAGAGCACATGAGAGTGGGGAGGGTCAGAGGGAGAAGCAAACCCCCTGCTGAGCAGGGAGCCCGATGTGGGACTCGATCCCGGGACTCCAGGATCATGACCTGAGCCGAAGGCAGTCGCTTAACCAACTGAGCCACCCAGGCGCCCTGGACCACATCTTCTTTATCCATTCATCTGTTGAAGGGCATCTCGCTCTTTCCACAGTTTGGCTATTGCGGACATTGCTGCTAGGAACATTGAGGTGCATATGGCCCTTCTTTTCACTATATCTGTGTCTTTGGGGTAAATACCCAGGAGTGCAATTGCTGGGTCATAGGGTAGCTCTATTTTTAAATTTTTGAGGAACCTCCACACTGTTTTCCAAAGTGGCTGTACCAACTTGCATTCCCACCAACAGTGTAAGAGGGTTTCCCTTTCTCCACAACCTCTCCAACATTGTTGTTTCCTTCCCTGTCCATTTTTGCCATTCTAACTGGCGTAAGGTGGTATCTCAGTGTGGTTTTGATTGGATTTCCCTGATGGCTAATGATGATGAACATTTTTTCATGTGTCTGTTAGCCATTTGTATGTCTTCTTCAGAGAAGTGTCTTTTCATATCTTCTGCCCACTTTTTGACTTGATTATTTGTTTTTGGGTGTTAAGTTTGAGAAGTTCTTTATAGATCTTGGATACCAGCCCTTTATCTGTAGTGTCATTTGCAAATATCTTCTACCATTCTGTGGGTTGCCTCTGTTTTGTTGACTGTTTCCTTTGCTGTGCAGAAGCTTTTTATCCTGATGAAGTCCCAAAAGTTCATTTTTGCTTTTGTTTCACTAGCTTTTGGAGATGTATCTTGAAAGAAGTTGCTGTGGCCGATGTCAAAGAGGTTACTGCCTATGTTCTGCTCTAGGATTTTCATGGATTCCTGTCTCACATTGAGGTCTTTCATCCACTTTTAGTTCATCTTTGTGAATGGTGTTAGAGAATGGTCGCGTTTCATTCTTCTGCATGTGGCTGTCCAACTTTCCCAGCACCATTTATTGAAGAGACTGTCTTTTTTCCATTGCATGTTTTTTCCTGCTTTGTCAAAGATTATTTGACCATAGAGTTGAGGGTCCATATCTGGGTTCTCTATTCTGTTCCATTGGTCTATATGTCTGTTTTTGTGCCAGTACCATGCTGTCTTGGTGATCACAGCTTTGTAATATAGCTTGAAATCGGGCAACGTGATGCCCCCAGCTTTGTTTTTCTTTTTCAACATTTCCTTGGAGATTCTGGGTCTTTTCTGATTCCATACAAATTTTAGGATTGTGTTCCAGCACTTTGAAAAATGTCATTGGAATTTTGATCTGTATGGCATTGAAGATATAGATTGCTCTGGGTAGCATAGACATTTTAACAATGTTTATTCTTCAGATCCATGAGCATGGAATATTTTCCCATCTTTTTGTGTCTTATTCAATTTCTTTCATGAGTGTTTTGTAGTTCCTAGAGTATAGATCCTTTACCTCTTTGGTTAGGTTTATTCGAGGTATCTTATGGTTTTTGGTGCTATTGTAAATGGAATCGTTTCTCTAATTTCTCTTTCTACAATTGCGTTGTTAGTGTATAAGAAAGCAACTGATTTCTGTGCATTGATTTTGTATCCTGCCACATTACTGAATTGCTGGATGAGTTCTAGTAATTTGGGGGTGGAGTCTTTTGGGTTTTCCACATAAAGTATCATGTCGTCTGCGAAAAGAGAGAGTTTGACTTCTTCTTTGCCAATTTGAATACCTTTTATTTCTTTTTGTTGTCTGATTGCTGTTGCTAGGACTTCTAGTACTATGTTGAACAATAGTGGCGAGAGTGGGCATCCTTGACGTGGTCCTGATCTTAAGGGAAAGGCTCTCAGCTTTTCCCCATTGAGGATGATATTCGCTGTGGGTTTTTCATAGACAGATTTTATGAACTTGAGGAATGTTCCCTCTATCCCTATACTCCGAAGAGTTTTAATCAGGAAAGGATGTTGTATTTTGTCAAATGCTTTTTCTGCATCAATTGAGAGGACCATATGGTTCTTCTACCTCCTCTTATTAATGTGTTCTATCACATTGATTCATTTGCGAATGTTGAACCACCCTTGCATCCCGGGGATAAATCCCACTTGGTCTGGTGGATGATCCTTTCAATGTATTGTTGGATCCTATTAGCTAGGATTTTGTTGAGGATTTTGGAATCCATATTCATCAGGGATATCGGTCTGAAATTCTCCTTTTTGATGGGGTCTTTGCCTGGTTTGGGGATTAAGGTAATGCTGGCCTCATAGAATGAATTTGGAAGTTTTCCTTCTGTTTCTATTTTTTTAAACAGCTTCAGTAGAATAGGTATTATTTCTTCTTTGAATGTTTGGTAGAACTCCCCAGGGAATCCATCAGGCCCTGGACTCTTGTTTTTTGGGAGGTTTTTGATCACTGTTTCAATCTCGTTACTGGTTATTGGCCTATTCAGGTTGTCAATTTCTTCCTGTTTCAGTCTTGGCAGCTTATAGGTTTCCAGGAAGGCCTCATTTCATCCAGATTGCTCAGTTTATTGGCATATAGTTGTTGATAATAATTTCTAATAATTGTTTCTATGTCCTTGGTGTTAGTCGTGATCTCACCCCTTTCATTCATAATTTTATTAATTTGGGTCCTTTCTCTTTTCTTTTGGATAAGTCTGGCCAGTGGTTTATCGATCTTATTAATTCTTTCAAAGAACCAACTTCTAGTTTCGTTGATCTGATCTACTGTGTTTCTGGTTTCTAATTCATTGATTTCTGCTCTAATTTCAATTATTTCTCTTCTAATGAGTAGCTTAGGCATCATTTGGTCTTTTTCTCTAGTTCTTTAAGGTGTAGAGTTAGTTGGTGAATTCAGGATTTTTCTATTTTTTTGAGTGAGGCTTGGATGGCTATGTATTTCCCCCTTAGGACCGCCTTTGCAGTATCCCATAGGTTTTGGACCGATGTGTTTTCATTCTCATTGATGTCCATGAATTGTTTAAGTTCTTCTTTGATTTCCTGGTTGACCCAAACATTCTTGAGCAGAGTGGTTTTTAGCTTCTAAGTGTTTGAATTTCTGCCAAATTTTTTCTTGTGATTGAGTTCCAGTTTTAAAGCACTGTGGTCTGAGAATATGCAGGGAATAATCTCAATCTTTTGGTATCAGCTGAGACCTGATTTGTGACCCAGTATGTGGTCTATTCTGGAGATAGTTCCATGCACGCTTGAGAAGAATGAGTATTCTGTTGTTTTAGGGTGGAATGTTCTGTAATGTTCTGTAAATATCTATGAGGTCCATCTGGTCCAATGTATCATTCAAAGCTCTTGTTTCCTTGTTGATTTTCTGCTTAGATGATCTGTCCATTGCTGAGAGTGGAGTATTGAGGTCTCCTACAATTAACGTATTGTTATCAATATGACTCTTTATTTTGGTTAACAGTGGCTTATGAAGATGGCTGCTCCCATGTTGGGGGCACAGATATTTACAATTGTTAGATCTTCTTGTTGGATAGACCCTTTAAGAATGATATAGTGTCCTTCTGTGTCTCTAATTACAGACTTTAGTTTAAAATCTAATTTGTCTGATATAAGAATTGCTACCCCAGCTTTCTTTTGAGGTCCGCTGGCATGGAAGATGGATCTCCATCCCTTCACTTTCATTCTGGATGTATATTTAGGTTCAAAATGAGTCTCTTGTAGGCAGCATATGGATGGGTCCTGTCTTTTTATCCAATCTGCAACCCTGTGCCGTTTTATGGGAGCATTTAGGCCATTCATGTTAAGAGTGATTATTGAAAGACATGAATTAATTGTCATCATGTTGTCTGTGAAGACGTTGTTTTTATAGATTGTCCCTGTAAATTTCTGTTGTAGATCACTCTTGGGATCTTTCTCCTTTTATAGAACCCCCCTTAATATTTCTTGCAGGGCCAGCTTAGTGGTCACATATTCTTTCAGTTTCTGCCAGTCGTGGAAGCTCTGCATCTCTCCATAAATTCTAAATGATAGGCTTGCTGGATAAAGTATTCTTGGCTGCGTGTTCTTCTCATTTAGTACCCTGAATATGTCTTGCCAGGCCTTTCTGGCTTGCCAGGTCTCTGTGGATAGGTCTGACGTTATTCTGATGTTCCTCCCTCTGTACGTAAGGAATCTCTTCCCCCTAACTGCCCTTAAGATGGTTTCCTTGTATCTAAGATTTGCGAGTTTTACTATTACATGTCAGGGTGTTGGCCTGTTTTCCTTAATCTTGGGAGGGGTCCTTTCTGCCTCTAGGACATAAATGTTTGTTTTATTCCCCAGATTAGGGAAGTTCTCAGCTACGATTTGCTCAAATACATCTTCTAGTCCTCTCTCTCCACTCCCTCCAGGATTCCAATTATTCTGACATTGGAATGCTTCATGGTGTCACTTACTTCTCTGATTCTATTTTCATGGATTCTGAGTTATTTTTCCCTGGCCTCCTCTTTTCCCTTTTTATCTATTATACTGTCTTCCAGATCGCTTATTCTCTCTTCTATCTCAGTTACCCTATCTGTTAGATTATCTAGATTGGATTGGATCTCACTGATAGCATTTTTAAGTTCTGCCAATTCACCTTTTATTTCTGCCCTTAGAGACTCTATGTTGCCATTAATTGATTTCTCCATTCTAGCCATTGTCTTCACAATTGCTAGCCTGAATTCCATCTCTGACATCTTGGTTATATCTGCATCCATTTGTAAATCTGCAGCATAAGTCATAACCTCTGAGTCTTTTCTATTTTGGGGATTCCTCCTCCTAGTCATTCTGTTGATGGCTGTTTGAGGCAATGTATAGAGTCCAAATTATTGACCAGAACCCAAACAAGATGCACCTGTTTTCTTGGGACTTTAGTGTTGCTGGCCTCTTGTTTTCCCAGCCTATCTTCTCGGGGAGGGGCCTGCCGCTCTGTTACTCAGGCAACCCTGTTTGGGCAGAGTTGCCCTGCGCCCCTGTGGCGGGGGATGGGCTCAGCAGGAATCAGTCTTTGGGGCTTTTGTTCTCTGGCGGCTTTCACTGGTGGCTTTCCGTGTCTCTTCCACGAGTCAGAGCAGAAGAGACCGTTTCCAACCCTCTGCCTCAGAGCAGAGAGACTGCAGTCTGTTCTTCAGTGAGCTCTCCAGGCCACACCATCTCCATTTCTGTCCGTGCTGCTATAAACTGCAGCGTCCTGGGTTGTGCGCCCCTCCGCAGCACTCCCAGTCCTGCCTCCAGGTCAGGGCACGTCTTTGCCCTTTGTGCTTCTAAAACCGCCAGCCACTCCCAGTTTGCCCACCCGACCCCATTGCTCTAGGTTCCACCCCAGGGGCTGCCCTAAAGTCCTTTCCCCGCCGCTACCGGTCAGTGAGTCTGTGACCCATCCCCAGCGTGCGAGGCTATCACTCACCGGTGGTGTAGGATCCCCATGTCCAGGCACCCTCCCGCTGCCGTTTATCCTCCGATATCTGCTCATGGAATCACAGCTCCCCACTTCGTACCTCAAAACCAACCGCCTGCGATATTCTGTTTGTAGAGATCCAGATCTTCTTACATCTCAGGCTGGTTTCTTGGGTGCTCAGAGTGGTCTGGTAGATATCCAGCTCAATTCCGGGGACCAGTTGAAATAGGGTCCCCTACTCCTCCACCATCTTTCCTTCTCCAAATATATCATATTTCACCTTCTTCCCTTACAATGTTGGACTCCAAGGAAAATGTACTGACCACAGTCTATCACCTGAAAGTGTCGCTCCTTGGGCCAGAAGATGTGCTTTGGTTGGGTGCCACATATTATCATGAGTGTGGTGGTCTTGCTGTAGTTGAGAGATTTAGATAACAATGCTGGGGGTCACCACTTTTTTCTGTGGGTTATGACAACATGTGCCGATTTAGCAGCCTTCTTGAAATTTGGTTCAGCATCACCGTAATTTAGGATCAGCAGAGTCTCTTTGTGGAAGACCTTTTCACATCCTATTTAAACCATCTTCTCCAGGGAAGGAGAGAGAAAATTAGGCTAAGATTTCCCTTCCTTCAATCCAAGTCCTAGAGCCAGACTTGAAAATAGGGATCCCCCACTGGCATCGGGCTTCGTGTCCTCTCTAGAGCCCCTCTTTCTGTGTTTAACAAGCTGCTTAAACATCATTATAGAAAAATAGATGTTCAGCTTCATTTGTGTTTGTTAGTGGAATGACACGTGGCATTGTTTAAGGGTATTTTAAAATCACACTTTTTTATGATTATAAAAACTACACATACCTGTTATAGAAAGTATTTGGAAAAAATCACCTATACTAATTCTACCACATAGAGCAAACAGCTGAGAACATTTCAGATAGTTCCTTCTAGCCTTTTTTCTATGCATATTATCCATGTAGAATGGTCTGCTAATGAGGCAAATGTCTTGGTCGGCCTTTTATCATAAGAGGGTATCAATTCCCTCCTTCACTCAGCTGATTTTACCACATAGGGCCTTGCCCATGACTGACAACCTAGAGCAGGTTCGTTCCAGGTTCTTGTCAGAGGTCCTCCCATGCCACTGAATAGTAACCAAATCAGCACTGAGAGGAAGGACAAGGGAAGAAGCCCGAAGGCTGTGGCTTTACTCAATTATACTTTGGTAGGATCTTTGCCTCTTCTGAAACACAGGATAAACTATGGCTGTGATATTTAATTTTGAGTTCTGTTCATTCTATTACATACTGAAATTTGTGAGGACATAGAGGAAGAAACTCCTTCAGGTATCAATCCCTTCTCAGGGGCCACTGAGTTATTTTTATCTTTGAAATTCAATATACATGATTGCTTTCCTCTCTTTGCACTGGCTTCTAGGAAATTTACTGGTAAATTTATAGCATATTTCTAGCAAGGATATAGCACCGAGGGTTTATATTTTGTTTACTAACTTTATTTTTGGCTTCATCTTATCTTTCCCAAACTTTTTTCTTACAGCCATTTTTATGCTTCTATTAGAATATTTACATAAATCAATTTAAACCCTGCTGTGCAGAGGTAACATGGTGTGAAAATGTATCTTTTTATCTGCAGAATAGTTTCAATTTGAATAGATGCCTGCACTTAAAACTTGAAGAATTTTACATAAAAACCCAGATTTCTGGCTTTTTTTAAAAAAATTAAAGGTCATGCAATACTAGTCTCACATTTGCAGCTTCCTTCTTTAGGTGGGGGAAATGCTCTCCAGTGCTATAATCTTGCCCATTTGCTCTTATATTCCCAATATAGAGACAGTATTTCAGTCCTCTAGTTATCAAGGTTCTCCTTCACTTATTTGTTCCTGCCTAGTTCATGTGGGCACTGGAATTTGCAACCTCTGTTTTACAGGATATGGTCAACTATAAGTAAATCTATCTGTGTTTGTATGTATATAATACATATAATTGGGATGACCCTTTTAAACACCTAACAACATTCTAAGGGAAAAACAAACAAAAGGTGTATAGAATATTTGAAATGTTGGAGCTATTTTTCTTTATTTTATTTCCTCAGGTAATAATATCCCATTATGAATACGTTTTGGGTATTCCACTGAATGACCGAAAAGCTATCAACAACTATACTATCAACAGTACAAAGGAACTGCCCACAGTCCCATACCTAGGGGATTCAATACCAACACCTTTGGTGGAGGAAGAAACTACAGCATCTACTAGCCTCGTCACCATGCTCTGGTCCTTGTCTGTGTCTAGCTTTGCAGTTGGTGGAATGATTGCATCATTCTTTGGCGGGTGGCTAGGGGATCGGCTTGGAAGGTAGGCAAGTTTCATAAATAAGCATAAACATGGAAACTTTAGTATTTGGGATTTCTAAAACTTTGTTGAGAAAGAAATCATCTTTCCTTTTGTGGAATAGTTTCAGAGTTGTTCTTTTCAATTCATGAACCTATGAATTAGGTTTTAGAACAAATAATGGAGAAAGCTGTTGCCCTAATCTACTTAACCATAGAGGCATTTATAGCAAAAGTGGGTTTGGTGTGTATTTCCACAGAACTGATTTGATTCTCTAAATTTTTTAGTTTTAAAACATATTGGGGTGCCTGGGTGGCTCAGTCAGTTGGGTGTCTGACTCTTGATTTTGGCTCAGGTCATGATCTCAGGATTCTGAGATCCAGCCCCCACCCCCAAGTCAGGCTCAATGCTCAGTGGGGAGTCTGCTGGAGATACTCTCTCTCTCCCTCTGCCCCTCCCCCTGCTCACTCTCCCTCTCTCTCTTTCTCAAATAAATCTTTAAAAAACTAAAATAAAATAAAACATGTTAAGAAACCACTACATAGGGCGCCTGGGTGGCTCAGTTGGTTAAGCGACTGCCTTCGGCTCAGGTCATGATCCTGGAGTCCCGGGATCGAGTCCCATATCGGGCTCCTTGCTCAGCAGGGGGTCTGCTTCTCCCTCTGACCCTCCCCCCTCTCATGTGCTTGCTCTCTCTCATTCTCTCTCTCTCAAATAAATAAATAAAATCTTAAAAAAAAAAAAAAAAAAACCACTACATAAATGGTTAACTCAGGAACTCAATGGCAGAGCTAAGAGTAAAATTTTTAACCAGGGAATCCATTGTTTGCTTCACCAAATCACTCTATTTCTCAGACATCCAGTTTTTCATTTTCAAATTAGAATTTGGCATTTGGATCAGTCAAGTCCTAAGGTCAAATCAATATCCCTAACTCCCAATTGCCCAATATACTTGGCATGGGTTTCTAGCTGTTGCTACTGCTCTCTCAAAGCCCCAACCAGAGATGAAGCAAGTAGTGTCTCCACTTCTTTACCCTGGTTTTTATCAAGTGTATTGGATTAAAAATGTCATTTAAAAAAAAACTCCCTGGAACTCCTTTACACTTAAATTTCATTCACTTAGTCATGTGACATACTAAAAATTGGGATTCCACCCCCACACACAGAGAGAGGAAATAAAATCAGAAAATCAAATGGGTTTTTTTTGGACTCATTTTCTGTTTTGAGGCCACCTTTTGTTTATTAATTTCTTTTTCTCTGATGATAAAAATAAATACGCAAATATGGAAAATTTAGAAAATGCAAAAACCTCTAAAGATGTATATATATATAGGTAACTATTTTAGTAATTCTAGATTACAATTCATTTAGTTTTTTAAATTCTTACTTTAAATTATAATTTTATCTCTCTCATTATTAAAATTCTGATAATTTCCTTCTCTTGCACTGGAGATTTTATATAAGACTATAAGAAGTTTTCTTAAACAATGAGTATCATTGGGGCACCTGGGTGGCTCAGTTAGTTAAGCATCTCGGCTCAGGTCATGACCCTATCAGGCTCCCTGCTCAGCGGGGAGTCTGCTTCTCCCTTTGCCCCTCACCCAGCTCTCATGCTCTCTCTCTCTCAAATAAATAAATAAAATCTTTTAAAAAAATGAGTAGCATAATAACCCAAGTTTTATTCTTGTTCTTACTTGAAAGGGACTTTCCTCTACCACAAAAGATAATAGTTTCTCACATTTTTATCAATTTGCTGGTATTTAGCTGAACTTAAAAATCAGAATCTGCAAGTTACAGGGTTCATAAACTGACTTTAATTGTTAAAAAAATTTTAAATCATTTTAATTTGAACCAAACTGGTTTATGCAATAATTGGAAAATTTTCTAGATTAATATTTCTACAATAAATAAAATTAAGCAAAGTTAAATTTTAAAATATGAATCAACCAATTCTTTTAGCAGCTACTAATGTTTTATACCTCTTCCCCCCTAAAGAGAAAATTTAAGGGGTGCCTGGCTGGCTCAGTTGGTGGAGCCTGCGACTCTTGATCTCCGGATCGTGAGTTCAAGTCCCAAGTTGGGCGTGGAGCTTACTTTAAAAAAAAAAAAAGAAAGAAAAAATGTAAGCCCTTGTTCTCATCTCATTTAGAAATGAGATTTTGACATGTCTAGTGATGTACTCTAAAGCATTTAATTCATGTCCTCGTGATAGATACAGGATGCATACCCTCTCAAGTCTTAGAATTTAGCATCAACAATGGTCATACCCCAAAACAATATCAAATGACTTTGGTAAACTAAAAGTGAGGCTTCTTCCAAGTATCAGTAGAAAAATGATTCTCCATGAATAGCACCCACAAAATTAATAATTTTAACATCAGGGGTGCCTGGGTGGCTCAGTCGTTAAGCGTCTGCCTTCGGCTCAGGTCATGATCCCAGGGTTCTGGGATCGAGCCCTGCATTGGGCTCCCTGCTCCGCGGGAAGCCTACTTCTCCCTCTCCCACTCCCCCTGCTTGTGTTCCCTCTCTCACTGTCAAATAAATAAATAAAATATTTAAAAATTTTTTAAAAAATAATTTTAACATCAAAATTAAGACAAAAGAGTTCAGTCTCTATATAAACTATTTTTCTAGGAAGATTCATTGAGAAATGACATGATTTTCCTTATTGACCAGGTCATTGCTCCATCAATTAAAAATAAGTAAATAAAAGCTTATTTTTCCATTACCTCTTTAAAAAAAAAGTCTTTCCTTATAATTGTGTAATAGGCAATAAATGTCTGTGGCCACTGCTTCATAGATTTGGCTTCTCAGGGTCAATTTTTCCCGAAGTTGTGCACTTAAAATTTAATTACAATGACATGGTGGAGAAGACCATGGTCTGTGCAATCCACACTACCGTAAATGAAGGAAGGTATACATAGCCTGCCTTTAAATGCATTCTTTCTTTTGTATAAAAAAATGGAACTCACTAGAATCAAGCATTAACCTTTGGTTTCATACAGATCAAGCCCCAGCTCTAACACTTAATAGTTGTGTGAAAATGAGCAAGTTACTTAGGTTCTCTAAGATGTTTCCCCATCCATCTACAATGTAGGAAAAAATAATACCTAACTCATGGCATTATTGTGAGAATTACATGAGAGCACAGACAGAGGATTTATCACAATGCCTAGCACATAGTAAGCAGGCACTGAATGTAGCCTTACTTTGATGCTGATGCTGATGAAGACAATGATCATGACAGTGTTAAAGCCTATGCTAACAGGAGTATTTAGAGCAAAATTTAAAGAAATATACTTAGAAATATATTTCCTTCTCCCTGATTCAGTGATTTCATGTATTTTTGGATTATTTATTCTTGGCCATTTCTCATGCCCGAGCAGAAGTTAAAATCCTTTAAGTGGTACAAAGTGCTCTAGCACCCACTGATGATAAGGAAGAGGGACTTTAGAGCAATCTGGCATCAAATATACTTTCAAACTATCTCTTTTAAGAGTTTTTCTCCCTAATAGAATATATTCCCTAACAGAATATATAGTACTAGCCAGCTAGTAACAATTTCTTAAGGTAAATTATTGAATTTGTTTGCCCTCTGAACTTGAGTAGAGAAAGGGTACTTCAGAGAGAAATAGCCCTGTCTTTTTCTGCTCTGCAGCTCTGAAACTGACCAGCTCTAAATCACTATTTCCCCTCCCTTTGAGTAGTTGACATTTTCCTATGTTGGTTTTCTATTACTGCTCTAATGAGTTACCATAAACAGTGGCTGAAAACAACAGTTATTTTCTTATAGTTTTGGAGGTCAGAAGCTCAAATTCAGTTTCATTTGGCTGAAGCCAAGGTGTCAGCAGGGCTGGTTCCTACTGCAGCTTCTGAAGGAAGAACCCATTTCCTTGCCCTTTTTCAGCTTCCGGGTGGTCACCATATTGCTTGGCTTGTGGCCCCCCATTCAATCTTCAAAGTACATTACTCCAATCCTATTTCTGCCATTACATTATCTTCTCCTCTGCCCTCCTCTTACCAGAATACTTGTGATTCCATCACTGGGCCCACCAGGATAATCCAAGATAATCTCTTTATCTCAAAACTGTTAATTTAATCATATCTGCAAAATCCCTTTTATTATATAAGGTAATATATCCCAGAGTCTGAGGATTAGGATGTGGACTCTTAACGGGATATTATTAAGCCTATCACATACTTGTTGGGCAATCATTGCAGTATAAGACTACATAATTTTACTCTCCAGAAAAAAAAAAATCTGTCTGGTATTAAAGATACGTGCTTAGAAAAAGCTCACCTATTCAAGTTTGAAACATTGACACAGAACATAACAAGATGCTTACATTTCTTTGTGGCACAAATATTTCCACACCTGTCCATTCAGGTTCTTTTACTGGTCTTAGCATCATCTACTGAACTTTAAAGAAGGTTTTTGTGCCCCACTTTCCCATTTAATAGGAATAAAAGTATCAGATATCTGCAAATGTTGTTAATTTTCATATGATTAATTTTGAAAATGATTTTTTTTTTGCTATTGTCAGCTTTATACATATTTTACATTGGTTGACATTAATTCATAGGTTCTGGAAATATGATGACATGCAATGTTAAAATAAGAATAATTATAATTCTCTATGATAAAACACTTAAAGTAAATTTTAATTTACTTCCAAATAATTCATAGTAAAATAAATTTAACTTTGAAAGTCCTTACATCATCTACATCAACTAAAACCTGCACCATTAAGAACGAAAGAAAGAAGGTGGGGGAGAAAGAAAGGAGAGGAGAGGAGGGAAGGAGGGGAGGAGGGAAGGAAGGAAGGAAGGAAGGAAGGAAGGAAGGAAGGAAGGAAGGAAGGAAGGAAGGAAGGAAGGAAGGAAAAAGAGAAGAGAAGGAAGAAAGAGGGGAAAGAAAGAGGATGTAATAGATTACAACTACAGTGTTGAATATAGCTATCACCAGACAATTACTTAAAACAAGCAACTTGTAGAAAACTTAGTTAACTGTTTGAAAAACTTTCAGAAGTGTTATCTTAAATCAAACCAGTCATCACCAAAACTGAGTCATCTCTAGTAAACTGTGGAGATCACATGCATGAAACCCAGATTTTTTCATTATAAACATTATTTACTGTTAATGCTTTAGTCCACAGATAAATCAAACTAGCAATCATGGCTTAAAATTCCCCAACTAACTTTTTCAGAAAAATTAAAATAACTGCTCTTAAGTAAATATCTTAGCATACTCTGAAAGCAAATAATTTTATCAAATTTTGATGCTGAATTTTTAATTCTTGGTTTTTAAAATTTCAGAATCAAAGCCATGTTGGTAGCAAACATTCTCTCATTAGTTGGAGCTCTCTTGATGGGGTTTTCAAAACTGGGACCATCTCACATTCTTATAATTTCAGGAAGAAGCATATCAGGACTCTACTGTGGTAAGTCAACCATGCACACACGTGTGCACACACACACACACACACTTGTCTTAAAATTATTCTAAAGGCAGATATGGTAACATGCAGGGAAGTTTTCAAGCCGGAGGTGGCATCACAAAAGGGAAAGGCAATAGCATAAAATTGAAGTCCTGAGTCAGGGAGGTTTGGGACCAGTAAGTGGGAGTTGTGAAACTATCTTCTTGCTCATGGCAATTTCCAGGGGTATAATCGAAGATAAATAATTTAACTCATAGCTTCCTGATCTGTTAAATGAAGGAGATAGTATGTATGATGTAGGGCACTTGTGAGAATACATGTAAGATGTTCAGCATAGAGTCTGCCTATAGTAAGCTGCTGAGAAAAGCCAGCTGTTGTTACTGCTCCTGCTCTGCTACTACTCCACCTTGGCTCTTATGGCCTACTTGGCCACCTAGGTCTCTATCTCTCCTTTCTGAAAAGACCTTGACACCCAAGCCCATCCTTCAGACCACATTCCCTTAGCGGTTGGATTTCAGATGCGGCTGGGTGAAGCATTACAGTGGCAGTGACCACAGGGACAGGGAGTCAGGCAGGAGCAGCTGGTAGAGGAGTTCATAATGGACAAAGGATGCGCCCCTTGCGAACCTCACATCTGAATATCTGGAATCACTAGTTCTTGGAAATAGCTTTTCAAACTTTTGGAAGTTTCAAATTTTCAGAAGCAAATTTAATCAGCAGAGGTCTGAACATCTCTAAAAGGGAGGATCACTTCATCTCTAAAATAGCTAAATCTTTAGCTTCTCAATGCCAGTGAAGCCCTGATTCTGATGGTTTGGAGCCAAGGTTTTAACCCATTGTCCCAAATCATAGAGCTGTCTTTCAAAGCACTAATATCCACTGGGGCCGGGGGAGGGTGTGAGAGCACAAAATGATGTATAAAATGTTTATAGTTTTTACTTGCAAAGAGAAAAGACTACAGCTTCATGTGTCTTCAATGATCCCCTGAAACAAAAGTCCAAAATACCCACAAGTTAATAACTTAATTAAAAGTCTCTTTTCATTGTTTTCAATGTTAATACAAATAGCTGAAAGCTAGGATAGCTTTATCAAGGTGAAGAGGCAACCCACATGTGGAGAGATTTAGATTCAGAATGAATTAATCCTGGCACTGTCTCTGCCTGGCCTTAGATATATTAACTGGATGTTCTGTAAAATGCAAAGAATAACACTATTAAGGAGTTCCAAATCATGATTCTTCTTTCTTCTTTCTCCATTTTAAAAAATACAGTATGAAAAAAAAATCACAAATATTTTTGGGAAAATTGAAAAGAAATGCTATAAACATTGTGGAGCAACCTATCACTAGCATAGCCAAGTAACTTGTACTCCCCAATTATCTTTTTAAATTATGCCTGGTCCTGTTCTGAGCATTAAAATTGCTAAAGATTATAGGAAATACATTTTTTTAAAAAGATTTTATTTATTTATTTGAGAGAGAGAGAATGAGAGACAGAGAGCATGAGAGGGAGGAAGGTCAGAGGGAGAAGCAGACTCCCTGCTGAGCAGGGAGCCCGATGCGGGACTCGATCCCGGGACTCCAGGATCATGACCTGAGCCGAAGGCAGTCGCTTAACCAACTGAGCCACCCAGGCTCCCGGAAATACATTTTGACTTTAAATTTGTGTGAACTCAGACCTGTGAGCTTATCTACATTATTATGTTCTTGAGCTACAATAGGAGGTATTACACAGAAAGTACAGCCTGGAAAAGGGACAAATAAATGGCTTTTTCTTTTTTTTTTAAAGATTTTATTTATTATTTATTTGACAGAGAGAGACACAGCGAGAGAGGGATCACAAGCAGGGGGAGTAGGGAAGGAGAAGCAGGCTCCCCGAGGAGCAGGGAGCCCGAAGAGGGACTCAATCCCAGGACCCTGGCATCATGACCTGAGCCAAAGGCAGACGCCTAATGACTGAGCCACCCAGGCGCCCTAAATGGGCTTTTTCTCATTTAAGTTCAATAGACCACACATTAGAGTCACATGTAAATGTCAGCCAAAATTCAGATGCCATATCAATCATGCAACTGCTCATGTGAGATATTAAGAACAATTTAAAGCATTAAAAACATATTGAAAGAGTTCCCAAATTAATCTTTTACACAAAAACCATATATTTTCATTTTATAGACAAACTCCCTAAGAGGAAGACTCTAACAAGTCTTATTTTTAAATTCTCAAGAAAATGCTAAACATTGCATTCAACCTTGCTTGTTGAAGTCTCTAACCTTTTTATGCACTCAGCAAATGGCTGGATACTCCACCATTTCCAACATGACTGAGTACATCTGTGTTTAAGAAAGCTATAGAAGGCAGAATTGCGTAGGGCTTTTCAATTTTTTGGTATTCCTTTAAGCACCAAAATCTTTTCTGAAGCCCATTGTTAGGAGAGAATAAAGAAGAATTACTCTGGGTGGAGTAATTGAGGGAAGAGTCCCTGAATTCCTTAACCTCTTCCACCTGTCCACACCTCCCTCACCACTTTAACAGTGATCTTGAGGTACTTCCACATTGTGTAGACTCAGGGCTTGTAGTTCTCGTGCTAAAGCTCTATTGCACTATGATCTTGGATAAACTGTTTCTCACCTCTATCAAGTAAAGAGATTGGCCTAGATATGTTCTAATTTCCTTTAATACTATGAGTTTAGATCAAGAATATTATTAAAGCATTCTTCAGTCTCTTTTCTGAAGACAACTTGAGGCATTATGATGTAAAGTCAATTTTAACATGGTTTTAACTAAATAAGGCAATGCTATGAATAATTGTCAAATCCATGACTAACCATTTCTTTCTATTGCTATATCCAACTACAACTTCAATCGAGTCTTATCAACAAATATTCTTTGCATAAACTGTGTCTATGACTGGGGACAAGGGGTCTTCCAACAGACTCTGACAGGACCTTTTAGTCAGGATATTGACTATACTTAAACCAAATTATTGTTATTGAGATAGTCCTGGCTGTACTTTCACATTTATGTTCATGTTTTATGCAGGACTAATTTCAGGCTTGGTTCCAATGTACCTTGGTGAAATTGCTCCAACCACACTCAGGGGTGCTCTTGGCACACTTCACCAGCTGGCCATTGTCACGGGCATTCTTATTAGTCAGGTAAAAACTCCCATCCCCTACTTCACCCATCCTCTACTTTATCCAGCTTCTTCCTCCCTGATAGACCAGCACAGCGGAAAAAACTAGTTCCACCATTGGGAGTGGGGATGCTGTAGAGACTTAGGCTTTTTAGCTCAAAGCTAAATTATTACTGCTTCACTCCTCACTTCTCCCCTTGGATCTGTGGTAGGGTTGGCACTAGAGATGACCCAACATGCCAGGTGTTGAACTTCTGGAGCTAGTCTAGAATTAAATTATTCTGTTCAGATTTCAAAGAATTGGAAACTTCACATTTTTAACTGCTGGATTTCCTTTGTTTTGAGCATTTTACCTGGACAATTAATATGTGTATGATTACCATAGCAGTTTTTTGTTCAGCTGGCTCTATCCTTCCCTTCCATCCCATGGATTCGGAGTCCTCAGAACCCTTAACCTAGGATTATCCAGAGGGTAAACCACTGCAATAAGGATGATAAATCTGGGTCTCATTATAATGATTGTTTTATCTATATAATCCCATTTTATTTTTCTGGGTAATCTAAGGAGAAATTTTTTAGGGTCCAAAGTTACACATGGTTTTTGGTGTTGCTTTAGATGTCAAATGTGTTCTTAAAAGTTTGGTTGTTTCCCATCCTAAATGGCCCATATGCGTTAATGAAAACAAACCTAAGTGAACTCTTTGTAAAACAAATAGTCCCAAATTTAGTTAAGTAAGACACACTAGTAATAGTTTCTGCTTTGGGCATACTTGAAGCAAAGTTGTCAGGGATTACTATTAAATAACCAACGTACTTTTTCAACAAATGGTTACAGAAGGCAGACCCAAAGTGTTGTGCAGTTGCCATGCTTCCTCCCTGCCTTTTCAGATTGTTGGCCTCAACTTTATCCTGGGCAATCATGAGCAGTGGCATATCCTGCTTGGTTTGTCTGCTGTGCGAGCCATCATCCAATCTCTGCTGCTCTTCTTCTGTCCAGAAAGCCCCAGGTACCTTTACATCAAGTTGGATGAAGAAGTCAAAGCAAAGAAAAGTAAGCCTGTGGGTGGTTTTCTTTCTTCCTATTGTTTTGGAACTATCAACTAATGAAAAACAATGTGCAAGAATGTTTACTGGTCAAGTTGGTATGAGCGCTTTCCAAATGAAGTCAATGATTACATGTAAGAAGAATGTGCAAGATCACTTCAATATGACTCATGCATGCCATTTCAAATCCATAAACACTTGATCCCAAGTGGGAAACCCATGTGCACAGGATTGGACTCAACCAGAGGCTTCTAAAAGGCCTTTACCTGCATTATGCTTCTATGATAACAAAGATCGTAGTTTTCTTTGTCATTAGATAAAGCCAAATGTTTTTCTCAAAATTTAAAAACAGGATTTAATTTAACAAAAAGAATTGCCAACACTCATGCTGTAAAGCAATAGAATGGGCTATGCAGAACTATAGCTCTTTCATTAACATAATAAAAATAAACTTGCTTTTGTTTTGACCTGAGTTGTATCAATCTGATCATTTTGTGGGCAGGCCTGAAAAGACTCAGAGGAGGTATTGATGTCACCAAAGACATCAATGAGATGAGAAAGGAAAAAGAAGAAGCATCCAGTGAACAGAAAGTCTCCATAATTCAGCTCTTCACCAACTCCAGCTACCAACAGCCTATTCTAGTCGCACTGATGCTGCATGTGGCTCAGCAATTTTCTGGAATCAATGGGGTAAGTTTAAGAATACTCTCTAACTCCCTAAAATAGGGAAAGAAAGGGGTATAAATTTTTTTTTGTATTAGAATTTCTTGAGTTATTTTAGTTAGTTCAGTTAGCCACTGTAGAGTACATCATTAGTTTTTGATGTAGTGTTCGATGATTCATTAGTTACATATAATATCCAGAAATCAGAGAGGGAGACAAACCATAAGAGACTCTGGACCCCGGGAAAGGGGTATAAATTTAAATAACTAAAGGCATTTTAAAATGTTGATATCATGTTTTACTACAATAAACATATACTGAGCATTAATTTTCTTTGTTTTGCCTCATCTGCTTTCTAAAATTGGATTAGAATTTTTAAAAATGTCAACAATCAATGACACTGTGACTATTAAGATGGAAGGTAAAAAGCAAAAATCATAATTAATACAAAAGCGGGAAAAGGAGAATAATTATACAAAAAAAAAAAAAAAAAAAAAACCTTAAATTAAGGGGCTTCTAGAGTTGAATAGCAAGTTTAGGATTCCGGATAGTCCAGGCAAAAGGAGTCCATGGTTCCCTTTATCTATGTATCTTTATTATTATTTTTTTAAAGATTTTCTTTCTTTATTTTAGAGAGAGAGAGGGCATTTGGGGGGGCAGAAGGAGAGGGACAAGCAGGCTCCCCGCTGAGCAGGGAGACCAACGCGGGGCTCAATCCTAGGACCCTGGGTTCATGACCTAAGCTGAAGGCAGACACTTAATCCACTGAGCCACCCAGGTACCCACCTCCCTTTACCTATTTAAATGAAGTATACCAGGGGCACCTGGGTGGCTCAGTTGGTTGAGCATCAGACTCTTGATCTTGATCTTGGGACTGTGGATTCAGGCCCTATGCTGGTCTCTGTGTTGGGCTCTGCACTGGGTGTGAAACCTACTTATAAACAAACAAACAAACTAAACTAAACAAAACAAAATCAAACCAAATGGCTAGGTGCAAAGAAATTTCCTGCCATGCAAGAAATTTTTCATTCTAGGGGCGCCTGAGTGGCTCAGTCATTAAGCGTCTGCCTTTGGACCCCCTGCTTGGCAGGAAGCCTGCTTCTCCTTCTCCCATTCCCACTGCTTGTGTTCCCTCTCTCGCTGTGTCTCTCTCTGTCAAATAAATAAATAAAATCTTTAAAAAAAAAAAAAGAAAAGAAATTTTCTATTTGGGGAGCCAGCATACAAAAGAAACTACAGTGTGAACTGGCATGACAGTGGTGAATGAGGGCAGTAGACAAGACATGATTAAGAAACATACTGAATGTTAAACTAGCCAGTTTTTAGGTTTTGAACTGAAATCACCGCATTACACAGACTAAAATTATTCTACTGGCAATTAGCTACTAGAAGAAAAAAAGTAAGCAATTGCTAAAAAAAAAAAAGATTTAAAAAATCACTTATCCTCTTTTACTGCTGTTAAAAATGTGGTTTGGGCTTCCTCTATTATGAGCTAATTACAGATCCACAAGGGGGTGGCTTATGGATGGGCAGAGTCTTGGAAGAGGTAAAGAAAGTAATTCTCATCAGTTGAAACAAAAGGAGACCTGGACCTCAATCAACAAGGTGAATACTGCTCTTCTGTCATCTCTATCCTCCTTTAATGGTTCCTTGATGTCCGTTTTAATCTAATACTCTATATAACTTCGGGGTTTGTAGGCCAAATTTGTATCCGTTTTCCCAGCTCTGCCTGTATATCCCAACGAACAAGACTTAGTCTTTCTGAACCTCCCTGCTTTAGCTACTATCCCAGTGCCTGACTTAGAGGCATCCAGGAAATGTTGAACTGAGGCTGTTGGGCAGCCTAAAAATGTGGGATAGTGTACAGTGTGCTATAAGCTACTCCTCTCTGAGCACAGTCTGTACAGTCCTTCTCCATTAGCCCTATCTGCAGGAAGAGGTGCCAGCAACAGGACGTGTTAAATGGGGAAGGAGGGCGCCTGGGTGGCTCAGTTGGTTAAGCGACTGCCTTCGGCTCAGGTCATGATCCTGGAGTTCCTGAATCGAGTCCCGCATCGGGCTCCCTGCTCGGCAGCGAGCCTGCTTCTTCCTCTGACCCTCCCCCCTCTCATGTGCTCTCTCTCTCTCTCTTTCTGTCTCAAATAAATAAAATCTTTAAAAAAATAAAAAATAAAAATAAATAAGTAAATGGGGAAGGAATGAGAGAGGATGAGAGCATGACAGAATGGCCTTAAAAAGACCATTATAAACGTAAAAACATAATTAATAATAAAGGCCATTAGAGAGATTTTGAAGATTTCTCCATGTCTACAGAGATTAGTGAAAAATTTTGGATTAAAAGCAATAGCAACCAGAATTCTTATACACGCTGTCAGGAGTGTCAATTGACACAACTTTTCTGGAAAACCATTTGCCATATTTATCAAAGCTGAGCATATGCATACACTATGGTCTAGTAATTCTATTCCTAGATGTAAATGTGTACATATTTCACAAGGATTATACTAGAATGTTCATAACAGCACCTTTCATATTCACCCAAATGACAACTACCTAAATACCCATCAGTAGTAGATTGGATAATAAATAGTGGTATATTAATACAAAAAAATACTAAGCAATGAAAATGAACAGTGTACAAATACACACAACTATATAGATAATTCTCGCAAAGGTAATGTTGAAGCCAGATACCAAATAATTCACACTGTGTGGTTCCATTTATAGCAAGTACAAAACTAGGCAAAATTTATCATGATGTTAGAGGCTGAAGAGCTTCCTTGGAAAAATAGGGGGATAGTCTGGGGGGTTCTGGAAGACTGGAAATTATTTATTTCTTGATCTGTGTGCGGGTTACACAGGTGTGTTCAGTTTGTAAAAATTAATCTGTATACTTATGTTGTGTGTACTTTTTTGTATTTTATACCTTAACAAAAAGTTTAAAAATAAAAAAATACATATCAAGATAATGCAGACCCCAAGTTTTCAGCTAAATTTAAGGAGAACTTTAATCAGAAATTTCAAACACTAAAGGTTGATAGTGGTTTCTCATTGCCTGGAAGAAGAGGACAGATAAAATGTTTAGGGCATTCTAGGGACCATGGTTCCATAGAAACTACTAAAAATAAACAACCTAAAATATTTCTTGCTTTCAAGCTACAGTGCTAGGATTCTTGATTAAAGCTAAATTGTTATTACTTTACAGATCTTTTACTACTCAACTAGCATTTTTCAGACAGCTGGAATCAGCCAACCTGTTTATGCAACCATTGGAGTTGGTGCCATCAACATGGTTTTCACTGCTCTCTCTGTGAGTTAATACCCTAGATAAATATGCTACTTGTTCTTCAGTTCAGAAATGGGGGAAGGGGGTACCTTGTGATCTAAAAGCAACCAGTGATTTATTGCTCATGTGTATTGGGTGTATAGAACCAAGTGGGTCACAGGAAGAGTCCTATATGCAAATAACAAACTACTAAGCATGGCTGAACAAGTGGATCACTGGTTGTCCCCATTTGCTGGGATGCCATTTAGTCACTCATTTGTGAATTAATAACTTACTTGGGGCACAGAGGACTTCTTCCTTGTGTAAATAGATGGAGTCCTTTTCCTTTGCTCTGTACTTGAATCCGTTGGGATCAGGTGACTACTTGTCATTCCTATCAATATTGGGTCTTCTACCTAGTTTCCTCTCTTTCCATGGTTGAAATCCTTTTTTTATCCTGATGTCTTGGCAAAAACACTTTAAAAAAAAATAAGGTCTTCTGTAACGTATCTATGCCCATGACAGGGTTAAACAGACTCAGCAAATGCTAACGATATTAGGTTAATGAACAGAGCTTCTAGATAGCTCACAAGGCCATAACTTCTGGTGATGCATTAAAGTGTGTGTGATATTATAAGAGATGGAGTAGAAGTGGTATAACTTGAAATGTTATTAGTTTTGAAATGTTATTTTTTTTTCTCACATGGGGAAAAGTCATATAGTCTTTTCAAGACCGAATACCTTATATAATGAATGATTCAGTATCTTGACAATATTTAACATAAATAATCTAAGAATAAAGTAAACAAACAACAACAAAAAAAAAACCCTAAAACTTCCCAACTCATGTAATTCACTCTAAAATGAGGATAATTGGGCTTATTTTTATCTTTGAATATAGGATATTCAAAAAGTTTGTGCTTTTAAATGTTGGTCACCATGTTATATTCAATATACTTCAGTCACTTGTTTTTCATTCTCTGCACATGGACTTTTAACTATTACCTTAGGGTAGTCAATAAATTACAGCCTAGCTACCTAGATCAAAAAGCAGATTTGTCCAGACTACATTAAACAGTGCTGGACCTTGGAAAGAGGAGGTAGAACAGATAACAAGGGAACACCAGCAGTTCTGTAGACATGCCTTTAGAGATAATGCCTGTTCAAGCCAAAAGGCCACTCAAAATCGATGAAGGCCTGCTACTGGGATGTAATCCAAGGACTACTCACATTCTTTTGTCTCCTAAGATATATTTTTTACAAATCCTACTTCAACATATTTTTCTAATATAGAAATTATGCTTAAAACATTTTATGTGTAACAGGATTTGCTGTGTAAAGCAACAAGTTGTCAAAATTGGGTAACCCAAATTCTAAATGCCTATAAAGGAAACTACTGCAGAATTTCATTTTTGCCCCCCTCCCTACCAACCCAGCTGGAGTAGGAGTAGTTGTTTGGAAAAGTTTCTTGATTATTTTGAATATGCCTTTTTAGAGTTTATCCATTTATTCTGTGAAAGTTTTTGAACAGATGAGTGACACTTTAAATGTCAGCTCTAATCATCTGTCTAATTAACCCTCCAGGGCTACAGATAACATTTAAGATTTTTAATTATATCTATTTTTGAAAAGTTGTTTTAAGGATCAAAAAGTACAAAAAGCATAGTCCTTCAGTCATGCAACTCCTCTCCCCTAAATTAACCAATGTTATTGAATTCTGTGTATCTTTTCAAATAAAGATATACAAATAGGAATATGCATTGATAAGTATTAAATGTTTCACCAACTTGGAAGGGACATAATCAATCAATTTTTTTTTTGGAATGAGTATTTGGGAAAAGAAAGACTTTCCTAACTCCATGCTGAATTATGTTTCCACATTCCATATTTTCTCCCACACTGATGGGTTGGTAGAAGAGAGCCTGTAAACTTGAGAGAAAACAAAACAGGAAGAAATGTGGAGGGAATGGGGACATAGATGGGTCTAGAGGAGAAGCAGTGGCATCCAGGATCTGCGTGACACACACTGTCTTGGGCAAAGACAAGGGTTCTAGGTCAGGCAGACATCTCCATCCTCAAGGAGTGAGTTCATAATTTATTATCCTATTAGTAACAATTGTTCAAAAACAGAAGAAACATAGTAAAGCCCTCATTCCTGAAGAAATGCTTCTATTTTCTTGATAGCTTGACATGGTGTCATCAAGTCAACTTGGAAAGTCATAGAGTCAAATTATACAGATAAATGTTATGAACTTGGGTGCGAGGTGTTTTTCATACTACCTTCTCAACAGTAAGTGTGGGCTCTTTGCTCATCATCCTGAAGTGATCTGAAACCCGAATATGAATTGCCTCTGAAATGAAAGGGGCTTTTACTATAAGTGAAAACAAATGTTTCTCAGATATTCTCAGAGCCAGAGCTCAAGGCTGTTGAATTGCTGTTGAGTCACTGATAGATTTATGAGCCAAGCCAATTTACTCATTGAAGTGAGGAATTATGACAGATAATTTTTGTGTGTGATTCACCAACCTTGGCAGTATCCCAAGGATCAAGCAAGAAGAGTCTGTATAAACAAACATTGGTCTTGTCTAATTGTAAATGTTAAACATTAATGCAAAGGTCCACAGACCCCAAGGTACCAATGATCTATCTCCTAAATTAGGGTAAGAAAGCACTTGAAGCTTTTGCTTTAAAGTCTTATCTTTTCAAATGGATAATTCACTTCCAGTACCAAATACACTTTAGGCACACCAGAAAAATGCAGATCTGACTATTTGGTAAAGTGATCAAATTCTGTAAGTTGTCAGGTCGTAATTTGACTTTATTAGCAGTGAGAAAGTTGGATGAGAATGGTTGACAACGCAACAGTTATACTACTTCAGGTTGTCTGCTGTGCACAAAACCTTGTACTTAGAACAGGATAATTATCAAAAGATAAATTAATGTCCTTTTTTATGTAGAGCCATTTTAAATGTACAAGAAATCTATTGGAAGAGATCCAAGATGTACAGCCTCTTAATACTGTACTCAAGTGATAATTGCAGAGTGATGGTAAGGTTATGGCTCTTTGTCCAGAATGGCTATTCAAATCACTTTGACTAAATGAAGCAGGTATCTGTTAATTACTTCTGCTCACTGAGACCAGTTCTGCCGCCTGAGGCAAGAGTCACCCCCCAACTCAGTTCCACATCTGTAAAACGGGATTATAGAACTGCCTCCTTCCAGCTGTATAAATTAAAATTACCTCTTCAGCAGTAAAAACTAAGTCAGTATGTTTTAAAACTTTCCTAGGTATTCCTTGTGGAAAAGGCAGGGCGACGCTCTCTGTTTCTAATAGGAATGAGTGGGATGTTTGTCTGTGCCATCTTCATGTCTGTGGGACTTATATTACTGGTAAGTGTAGATTTTTGCACTGAGATTTTTGGTTACCATATGATAGCACTTCTGTGTTCCAGGCTAAAGTGCTCTGTATGTCAAAACATTTGAGACTGACTTATGAAATAAAGCCAGAGGAACAGCATAGAATACAAGGAAGAAATGTAAAGTAAAGGGGGACTAGCTTTTGGGGTTTAAAGACTTAAATGTCACAAGTGAATTGCACTTGTTACCAAGGAAAGCAGTGTCGCCAAATGGTCAGAGTATAGTCTCTGGGGTCAGCCCCGCTCAGGTTCTAACACTGGCTCTGCCATTTGGCTACCTATGTGACCTAGGGAATGTACCAGGACCTCTCCAACCCAGCATCCTCATCCACTACTTCATGGAGGGTAAGGCATCCTGTCTAGTAATCTTGGTATGAATAGGAGCAAAGCTCATAGATTCTTGCCTTGCTTCTATCACAGGAGAAGAATGACTGAGAATCAAAGTCCTAATCCAGAGGATTTTCTAATGACAGGATTCAAAAGATTTAAGCGTGACTGAGACTAGAATAAACCAGTCTCAAACCAGAATAATCTGTAGTTATTTGCACATAAACCTATCAGGCAGAGAGCCGCGTCACCTCTGAACTCAGTGAGAGGTGAATTTAGCTAAAGGAAGCAGCAGCCAATAATCCCAACCCCACTTTTGTTTTCATTTTGTTTTTTCCTCAGGATAAACTGGCGTGGATGAGTTATGTAAGCATGGTAGCCATCTTCCTCTTTGTCAGTTTCTTCGAGATTGGGCCTGGCCCTATCCCCTGGTTCATGGTGGCAGAGTTCTTCAGTCAAGGACCCCGGCCTGCTGCTTTAGCAATAGCTGCATTTAGCAACTGGACCTGCAATTTCATTGTAGCTCTGTGTTTCCAGTACATTGCGGTAAGCAGCCTAATATTGTGTAAATTTGCTGAACAGAGATGGAGTAGAACAGCTGCTAATTGGAACTCTGTTTGTTTCTATGCAGAAGTTCTGTGGACCTTATGTGTTTTTCCTCTTTGCTGGAGTGGTCCTGGCCTTTACTCTGTTTACATTTTTCAAAGTCCCAGAAACCAAAGGAAAGTCCTTTGAGGAAATCGCAGCAGAATTCCGAAAGAAGAGTAGCTCGGCCCAAGCGCCAAAAGCTGCTGTGGAAATGGAATTCCTTGGAGCTACAGAGACTGTGTAAAGATAACCTGCTTTTTTGACAAAAAGAGAAACAGGAAGGAAGTTGTGTGTTTTTAATTGACGATTCTTTGAGAATTTTATATCTACGTCTTGAAGTATTATTTTATTTTTTAGGGAGCTTTTATGGGCTTTTCTCAGAAATGTCATCCAAAATTACCAAAGAAAGTATTTTTTTTAAGTTAGAGCATCTATTTTTGATAGTAAGACTCTGTAATTAAGTAAACCAAAAAGTCTAGCTCAATTTACTACACCAAAGGGCAAGTACATTGTAATGTTCCTAGCTCTGTTCTTTATAACCAGGTTCTCCTGAAATGGAAGCAGTGTCAATGTGTCATGTTATTGCTTCAGTAAGCATGTGACTGGAAACCTGGAGCTGCAGCTCATTTACATATTTGAACATGATTATATTGGCATTTTCTTACCCACAGACCTCATACTAAAGGAGCTTTGGCTAGTGGTAATAAGGTCCATGTTAAAATTGATAACTTTTCTATTGCTCCCATTCAGCTTTTTTCTTCTGTATTAGAATTTATATTTTGTTTAAAATTTTATTTTTTCTGTATTTTCACGTGGAATGGTTTATTGAGTATATTAAGATATGTTCATAAAAAAAAAACTTATTTTTGGTAGGCTTACCAAAACTTTTGGTACTCAGAAAAAAAAATTAGTTCCTTTGCTTGATAACCAAATGATTTTTATAAGATTAAACACTGAAAAGATTTTACCAGTCATACAGCCTGGGTTATCAGTTAATATTAATATCTATTATAAACCTATGTTAATTCCTTGCTAGTTCAGTCCTTTGAGCTCTATTTTGGTTTGCTTTTAAATTGAGCACAGCATGGTTTTCTCAGCTGTATTTTTTATAAAGTACATTCAAACAGTGATTAAGCTGGACTTTTTTTTTTTTTAAGATTTTATTTGACAGACACAGTGAGAGAGGGAACACAAGCAGGGGGAGTGGGAGAGGGGAGAAGCAGGCTTCCCATGGAGCAAGGAGCCCGATGCGGGGCTTGATCCCAGGACCCTGGGACCATGACCCAAGCCGAAGGCAGACACTTAACGACTGAGCCACCCAGGCGCCCTAAGCTGGACATTTTTATATCTCCTCAAACCCTAAATAAGTTAGAGCAGTCTAAGAGAAGTTTGAAATAAAGGATTGCTCTGTTTGTTAAAACATATTTTCTGTATTATGTTTGAAGACAAATTGAAAGAGTAGGATTGCAGGAATCCTAAAGGTGGGCTCCTGAAACTTCATGAATGCTCAATTTCAGACTTTATCAAAATCCCTATTTACTTTTCTGGTTAGATAGTCATCCCCTTTGACGTTCCTTCTTTGTCATGGCAGTATACAGACGCTATCTAAGCCATTCTATTGCTATTGCTAACATTTCCTGTGTACTATCTATGTGCCAGGCACTGTTCTAAGTGCTTTTACCTATGTAGGCAAATTGGAAATGCACAGATGATTAAACAGACTTTCACTTATAGTCAATTTTACAACTATGGAAATACAGTTCTGATGGATACCAAAGGCTTAGCAGGGAGCTAAAGTATCTCCAGGCTGTCTTCCCCACAAAGTGGAGCACTGAGTCAATCCTTTTTGTTTGCTTTAATGTGCATAAAAGAAAGGCACTTTTTTAAAAGTACTTTTTATGAGTGGAGGGGGAAAAATGCTTAACACTTGTTTTTGTTTTTTTCCCCTAGAGTTGTTTACCTTTATATAATTTGGCAGTCCAGACAACATAAAATTATTTCTTTTCACTTTGCTTTTTATTCCCTTTGGACCAATTTGGAATAAATTATTTTTACTTAGGACTTCAGGACACAGTTAAAGTGAGCTTAAATAGTTCAAAAGACTTTTGTGCTAGCTTGCGAGCTCTAGAAAAATTGTGGGGACTCTGAATTGGGCAAGAGCAGGAGAATGGCTCCTGTGTGGCTCTTGTCCTCTTCTTCAGGATGCTGGTGGTCTTTGAGAAGCCCAAAGTTACAATGATAAAGAAGTTTAACATTTTTATAGGTGATGAATGTGATTTAATCAAATCGCTATTCCTGATCTCATTTATTAAGAAAATAAAGTAGTAAATGTTTAAATAAAGAACCCAAAAGACCACTTTTAAGTTCTAATTATTTCGACTAACACATAAACACCAGAAATTCATAGCCCGGAGTTCTCTGCCTCAGAGAAATTGAACTAATTTACATGGTTTCCCTTCCATATTTTTTTCCTTGCTGAGATACAAATGAGTTGAAAAGAAACCTTAAGGTGAAGTAAGAAGCTGTTAAAGATTTATAGGAGGACAAAGGAACTAGCTTAACATAATAGAAACTCCCTGGTCTTCAATATCATACATCATAATAAATAATAAAATTGGCACTGATTAATTAGATGTAATCATAGGGAAATTAGATGTGAGTTTGAACATTTAATTTTCATAGTACTCTATCATTTTTGTGGAAGTCTTTTCACACTCTAATGTCCTAACAAATGTGATTTTTCTTAGCTTGTGTGAAGCATTACAATTCTGGTCTGGCCACTCAACCTGCTACACCTAGCTATTACCCACTGTCATGACACCCAGTGAAAGGGTCTTCTCTAACTTTCTCCTCTATGCAATCAGCACTGTAATGGTACTGAGATACGCTAAGACTCTGCCCCCTTCCTCCTCAAGGAGCTCACAGTCTAATAAGCAGTTCAGGAAGACCAGGATATGAACGTCCCCATGTGTGCCTTTTGCCATCCATGAAACTTGATTTGGAGACCTTGTAAAATGGGCACAGTAATATTACCTACCTCAGAGAGTTGTAAGGATTAAATGTAAAGTGCTAAGCAGAGTTCCTGGTACAAAGGAGGTACTCAATAAATGTTACCTAGAATTAGTATTCACAAAGATACTGCTAAAATAAAAGTTTGTCATATATATTGATAGTTCCAAATTTTTCTTTTCTTTTTTCTTTTTTTTTCTTTTTTCCAAATTTCTTTTGAGTACAAAAATTTTATAAATTCAAGATAATATTGTCTTGTTTCAAGCAACAATTTCAGTGACAAGGGAATGGTAAAAAATAAGGGAGATTTTAGGCTATCTAATTCCTAAACCCAAACTTGATATTTCTAAGTTGGTTTTGAGTTTTTATTGTATTTTTAAAGTTTGCTTTTGTCTAAGTTATGTTATTTTTTAAAAGGTTGCTATGTAATATTATTTCTTGAATAATACTAAGGATAGAGTAAAATGCTGTATATTTAAATGCAATTCCACAAGATTATAATCACAGGACAAGACCAAACCTTCTTGATAATCCTCAAAAACTGCAGAAGTGCTTTATACATGTAAACCAGTTTGCATGCATAAGCTACTTCTTCTTGCTAGATTATAGCATATGCAGCAAATAAGGCAATGTTAGGCAATATCTTGTGCTTATGGTGTCCTAAACAGAGGTGCTGAGTAAAGCGCAAAAGAATATATAATTTTTCATTACAATTCTATCAGTGACCTGAGGAGAAAAGGTTTGTTGCCAACCACTCTGACCCATCTGCTGGTGTTTTTACTGCTTTCTAATTTGGTGCAAATTAGAAAGAATCATCATGAAAAGACACTGGTTTTAGTTACAGGTATATATACACTACAGTTTTATGTCAATAAATACATTTCTGAATGCTTAAATGTTGCTTTATTTTATATAAAAAAAATCACATTTAAGAAAATATATTTGGTTTACTATAATATATCCTTGTTTCTTTCTTACAATATTGTTCCTATTCTCATTTTAAAGATAATACGTGAGTTACTTTCTAATTCAAATTTTATTTCCATCAGGCAGTTGTTCTGATTATCAAGAGTAGGAAAAACTAAACTGAAGTCTAGGTAAAAACAACTGACTCTCTTTGATAAAATAAAAATAATTTCTTCAGTAAATATTTAGTTGAGCTCCCACCGTGAATAAGACACTTTGTTAAAATTTTGTGAAAGACACAAAACTTAGAAAACATGGTCCATATCCTCAATCACTTGCATTCTCATAAAAGGGTTAAAAGTTTAAAACAAATAGTTACAGTATGAAGGAGAAAATAGAAAAAAACTATAGTGGTTTTTAAGTTGACCTCTAAGTATGCTGCAAGGATGTGATTTTAAAAATATAGTATATACTGATATTTAAAATTTGTTGTGCTCTATTTATCCAATGGACTTTAAATACCATAGTAATTTGTTACCACAACCATTAAAATATATATAAATACATATATATATATATATACATATATTTTAGCAGTTGGAAATTTTACTGCATTCTTTTCTATTCTCATATTTCCTTTTCATTTCTCCCAAAGAATTTTATCCTAAATAACAAATTTAAATGCTTTTAAACCAACTTTTTGATGATTCTATTATGAGTATCTATAATTTGAATTTTTATGTTTAAAAATGTCACGTCGGGCACCTGGGTGGCTCAGTTGGTTAAGCGACTGCCTTCGGCTCAGGTCATGATCCTGGAGTCCCGGGATCGAGTCCCGCATCGGGCTCCCTGCTCAGCGGGGAGCCTGCTTCTCCCTCTGACCCTCCCCCCTCTCATGCTCTATCTCATTCTCTCTCTCAAATAAATAAATAAAATCTTTAAAAAAAAAAATGTCACATGTCAAAAAGGTCAAAATGTTTAACATTTTTTTCTGGATTGAGTTAGCATTTATGATTATTAGTAGTACACAAATGATGAAAAAATCTGTATTGCAGATTTTGATAGAATTATTAATTTTTAAAGTTATTATTTTAAATTTCATCTCAGTGAGAAACATGAGTTATTTATTTTTCAATCAATTAAAATATTAATGGATGGATATTTCTTACTGCTAAAGTTAAAGAGTGCTCAGCATAAATTCTATTATTACACTTTGCTATTATAGATGTATTTAAAAATCTTATTTTCGGGCACCTGGGTGGCTTAGTTGGTTAAGTGTCTGCCTTCAGCTCAGGTCATGATCCCAAGGTCCTGGGATGGAGTCCCACACTGGGCTCCCTGCTCAGCAGGGAGTCTGGTTCTCCCTCTCCCTTTACCCCTCCCCCTGCTCGTGCTCTCTCAAATAAATAAAATCTTCTAAAAAAAATCTTATTTTCATAAATAATAGTATAGAAATGGGATATCCTTTCCATAAACTATTCCCAAATCACAGACAAAAAACACATAAAAATTAATCATAAAAATAAATTTGATTTTTTAAATAAACTTTAATAATCTATCAGCTAACAACTCCATTGGACCCTTCTTCTTTAATTTTGTTGAAATCAAAGAACTTATATTGTGGAAGGATTTGTTATCCAGCTGTTATAATCATTCTTCTGTTAGTTTCTGGGCAGTATACCAAAAAGGTTTTACCAAGACTTAATAAAAGGCTATTAATTATACTGCTGAAACTTTCACTTAAAGGTAACTTGCTTAACCTGATATACTGAGAAGGGGTTGGGAGAATTGAAATACTAATTTTACATATTTTCACATATGTAATAAAATTCTTCTATTTTATCACATGCCGTATTTTCATCAAACCATTAGAAGTTGGATTTAGCTTGTTAGCTTGCTCAATTCACGGAAAATATCATAAATAACCTAGTGGGCAAATTCAGTCCTCATTGTCAAACTACTTTTCCAAATCAGTTTTACTATCTGACTTAATTTTTCACTTCCAATAATTACCTTAGTACTCATTCTTGTGACAGCTATCTCATGTTTGAATTCCAGTAATTCCACATGGATACTTGCCATAAGTCTGTCTCCTGCATTTCTAACAGATGCTTTACTTTCTTTACTTTTATGGGTCTTTCCCTCAGGAGCAATACACATTGAAAATAATTGGGTAAGGTCTGCTAAACAAAAGTGGTCATTATCCTGTTCTACAAAGCCCGAATTCAAAATACCGTAACTTGGGCCAAAATATACTATTTCTTATGCCACTTTAATTAAGGTAGTCTTCACAGGTAACATTATTTCCAAGTATTCCTTTGTTTGGTATCTCTAAAAGTGTAACGCTCTGGGGCAACACACCATGGCCAGAGTCAGGATCCATTGAGAAGGACAATTATGAAAAGCGTTTGGAAAGAAGAACTAGTCTAACGAACATTAGGCACATATTGGGTATGAAAGTGTATGTTTTTGCCTATTATAAGAGATAATACGTCCAACTTTGAAAATAGTTATTACAAGTTATTCACAAACTAAATGCTGGGGTGGGGGCAGGGTGCAGAATAAAACTTAGAGAATCAGAAGATCCAGCACCCAAACAACAGGAGTTCAAAAGAGAGGAAAAAACAAAATGGGGGGAAAAATTATTAAAGAAACATTATATTGGAATTTTGCTGAGCTGAGCTGAAAAACAAGATGAGATTGAAAGGTTATTATGTGTCAAACACAATAAACAAAGTCCAAAATTTCACCATGAAATTTCAGAACAGCAGACATTAAGAAAGGAAAGACAGGTCACATAAAAAGGAACAAGAGTCATCGCAGCATGTAATATGTGAACAGCAACTATGGAAGCTAAAATGTTGTGGAGCAATGCCTATAAAATTCTGAAGGACAACGATTTTCAACCTAGAATTCTATCCCCAGATGTATTATCAATTGAATGTGAATGTAAAATAAAGATATTTCCAGACATGCATGACTCAAAATTTTACCTCTTCTGCACCTTCTCTCATGAAACAAGTAGATAGTGTACTTTACCAAAACAAAGAAGAAAACCACAAGAGTAAGACATGGAATTCAGCAAAAGGGAAGAAAGAAAGATAAATCTGAGGACACAAGTCATGGGTGGACAGCTAACATCAGGGACAAGAAAGCAACTGATTCAAATTGAAGCAAGGAAAAGAATGTTCCAGGGGAAAATAGAACTGAAAGATTCTCTGATGTGTTTGGCCCTATGAAGAATAATTTTGGACATTTGGGGGAAAAAATAGTGACAAACACACAGAAAACTAAACAAATGAAGATATGGGGCAATTATGAATTTCCGGAGATAGAGTAAGGTAAAGAGTGGTATAAAATGGAAACATCAGGGTGGGGAATGGGTTAGCCAGGTGGTGGGTATTAAAGAAGGCATGTACTGAATGGACCACTGGGTGTTATATGTAAACAATGAATCAGGGAACACTACATCAAAAACTAATGATGTAATGTATGGTGATTAACATAATAAAATAAAAAAATGGAAACATCATAGTACACTACTTGGCTCGGCAGTGAATAATTATTTACATAATTATGCAAAACACTGGATAATTGCTACAATTTTGTTTCCAAATAAAATTTATAAAGTACAACATTATGAGATATATGAAAAGAAAAGGTGAGAAAGTGTGAGAAAAAGCACTCAATTATTATCATAGTTAGTTGTCAAGATATAAATCCATAAAGCAAAAAATATTAGTATAGGCCTATGTGTTGGTAATTTTCCCTGTGCTCTTGCAGATCTATTGTAACCCTTTCTAACCTGCTCTGTGCCTCAGAAGGCTGGTCTCTTCAAACTATCATCTGGGTTCCTTGTCTTTAGTTTCTAGTTGGGTTTGCTTAATGGGATGTATTAGTGGGAAACAGGAGGACAGGAAGAAGTAGAAAGTAGGCTATTTGGTCCTGTAGCTTCCACCCTCCCACCCTAGGCTGGGCAGTGTCTGCATTCCACCACCTATGGTCACAGCTCTCCAAGGTGGGCCCTCTCTTCCACCTACTGTTCTTACTGTGTTCTGGTAATTACTTCTCTGACCTTGCCCCTGTCAATCCTAGAGTTGATAATGGCATCCTACTATTATTAGTTCCACTAATACAAGTCCCAGGTGTTTTATTATCCCTTCCTGCTTCCTTAATTTGGCCTTCTCCTTTGTAAATCATCTCTTCATTAAACTTCTTTAATCATCTCTTTTTCTACTGGGACCCCGAGCAATACAGCATATGAATTAGAATATGAAAATTAAAGTTTTAAGGGATACCTAAAAACTTTTCAAGGTTCATCTATAAGGAGATGAATGGGTGGAGAGGAATGGGGCAAGAAACTACTGTGAGTGGTTTTTTAATATGTTTAATATAAGCCTGTATTATTATTGACTTTATAGACTTGCATTATTTTATAAAAATAAAAACAATAATTCAGTAACATTTTGATTTAAAATATTAAATCTATATGGCACAAAAGCGGATGAGATTATATATACACAATAGATTTTAGATAGATGAGAGATTGAGAAAGTAAAAGAGGTAGAAAGAGAGGGAAATAGCTGAAGAGAGAGAGAGGGTAGGAGAGAGAGAGAACAATGTTAACAGAGGTTGATGGTTATCCATGGATGGTAGGATTTCAGATAGTGTGTGTGTGGTATGTGGTCTAAGTTGTTTTCATTGTGCATGTATATTATGTTTGTAATAGGATAAAAATAAATGTGGGAGAAACTAACTTTCTTTTAGAAATAGATGGTGAGAAAAAGAAGAGAAAGGGGTCTGCGATCTGAAAACAATATGAAGCTTTATTACAATGGGAAGCATGTGAATGTGTTTGTAGACTAAAAGAAAAATAGAGAAAGAATTTTAGGATACGAGGAGGATAAGGAGAGCATGGCAAAGTTTGTTACAAAAATCACAGGTAGTGGGACGCCTGGGTGGCTCAGTCGGTTAAGCGGCTGCCTTCGGCCTGGGTCATAATCCCAGTGTCCTGGGATCGAGTCCCACATCGGGCTCCTTGCTCAGCAGGGAGCCTGCTTCTCTCTCTCTCTCCCTCTGCTTGTGCTCTCTGTCAAATAAATAAAATCTTTAAAAAAAAAAAAATCACAGGTAGTGATATTAGGAAGGAGGAGACGGAAAGGTGAGAGAAATGTGAAAAATTAATAAAGGTATGGAAACATTTTGGGCCAAAGAGTAGAAAAATTGAGGTTGCTTGTATCAAATTAACTGTCCATTTTCAGCAGAGACAGTGCTAGATGAGTTCATACCCAGAGCAGGAATCCTGGAGATAAATGATTCCTGGACTAACCCCAAGAAATCAATTGCACCCCAATGTTCAGCCTTGCTTATAAAGTTAACAGCTGAGTTATTTTGGTTAGGTTACATAATCTTCTAAAGTGTCAATCATTTGCTCGTACGTAAAATGAAAATTAAGATGGCAAAAATTTTGCTTAAATTATAGGATTTTTTGAAACAAAAATAATTGTTTTAAAAATTTTTACCTGAAATTTGCTCTAAAATATGCAAATAGTTTAGTCAGCAAATGGTGTATTAATGAGCTCAGGCTGCCATAACAAAATGCGATAGACTATATGGTTTAAACAACAGAAATTTATTTCTCACAGTTCTAGAGGCTAAAAAGTCCAAGATTAAGTTTCCAACTGATTTCGCTTCCTTGGTGAAAACTCTCTTCCAGACTTGGAGATGATCACTTTATCGCCGGGTCTTCACATAGCAGAGCAAGGGCCCTAGTGTTTCTTCCTCTTCTTATAAGGGCACCAACTTTATCAGAATAGTGTCTCACCCTTATAACCTATCACCTTTATCACTTCCTCACAGGCCCTATCTTCAAGTCACACTGGGAGTTAGGGCTTCAACATACGAATGGAAGGAGTGGGGAGTGGGAGAAGACACAAACATTTAGTCCATGGCAAATGGTAAAGAACTTTTTCTCCAGGATAAAAGGGAAGGGTGGAGTGGGGAAAAGGGCCAACTAGCCTCGGAGGAATTAACATGTGGAATTAACATGTTTTAAAATTAGTCTGTTTTGAAGAATGAAATGTAACCCATTTTTGTTTTCTTTTGCTGGTGTAGCCATTAATCACACTTAAATACTTCCCCAAAGAACCCATCTACCAATTTTTAAAGGACTCTACTTTAAAAAAAAAAAAAAAGACACTTTTAAAAGGGGGAAAAGACTGAAGGCAAACTGTATGGCTAGATACTGGAATTTAGGGTTGCCAGATAAAATACAGGACACTCAGTTAAATTTGAATTTCAGAATCTCATGCAATATTTGGAACATACACATACTAAAAATATTATTCATTACTTACCTGAAATTCAAATTTTACTGGGTGTTTGTATTTTCATTTGCTAAATCTGGCAATACTAAAAAGTTATTACTATAAAAGTGTGGCACAGTACAAATACATAGACTGGCATAATATAATTAAAAACCCAGAAACAGTCACAACTCCAAAAAAGTAATTAATACTTAACAAAGTAGGAGGGGTACCTGGCTGGTTCAGTCAGTAAAGTGTGCAACTCTTGTGAGTTCAAATCCCACATTGGGCATAGAACTTAGTTTAAAAAAAAATAAAACAAACGAACAAAACCAAAAAACAACAACAAAAAAACTTTGTATTTACCTAAAGAATACAAAAACACTCATTCAAAGGAATACGTGCACCTCTATGTTCATAGCAGTATTATTTACAATAGCCAACATGTGGAAGCAGCCCAAGTGTCCATCGACTGATGAATGGATAAGGAAGAGGTGGTATGTACAAACAATGAAATATTATTCAGCCATAAAAAAGGAGTGAAATCTTGATGTTTGCAATGACATGGATGGAGCTAGAGAGTATAATGCTAAACGAAATAAGTCAGTCAGAGAAAGATCAATATCATATGACTTCACTCACATGTGGAATTTAAGAAAGAAAACAAACAAGCTACGGGAAAAAACAAAAGAGAGAAAGAAAAGGACTCTTAATTATAGAGAACAATCTGATGGTTATCAGAGGCAAGGGGGGGTGAGGGGATGGGTGAAATAGGTGATGGGGATTAAGGGGTGCACTTGTCTTGATGAGCACAGGGTGAGGTATGGAAGTGCTGAATCACTATATTGTATGAGTAAAACTAATATAACAGTGTATGTTAACTAACTGGAATTGAAATAAAAACTTAAAAAAATACTTAACAAAGTACGTATTTCAAACAAGGGGAAAGTATATATAACTTGATAAATGTTACTGAACATATTTACTAGTTAGAAAAAATAAAATTAGATGACTACCTCACACTAACCAAAACAATTAGGCAAATGGAAAAGAGTGCTAAATTTAGGAAACAACAACTAAAAGAGTCAAAAGAAAATGTAGATGAGTATTTATCTCACCTTGGGGTGTAAAACATCTTTCTAAATAAAAGCAAAGGGAGAAAAAGTAAGAGGGAAAAAAAGATAGCTTTTCTACCTAGGAATTAAACACTTGTGTATGTCTTTTACAAATACATAACAAAGTGGGGGAAAATGGCAAATTATATAACAAAAGGCAAATATTCTTGATGCCTAAAAAATAAGCTGCCATTTTTTCCTGTCAAATCTATCAAAAATGGTACCATTTTTGGTTAGCAAGAGTTAGCAAGAGTGCTAAGAAAACAGGGCCCTTATACACTGCTTATGAAAACATAAGTTGGTAAATCTAGGCAAAATCTTTTTTAGGAATGACGGGAAAGCAAAAGCATTTTCAGATGAAGAAAATCCAAGAGATTAATATTGCCGTTAAACATACTCAAAAAGAAATGCTGAAGACATTTCCTTAGCATTTCTTTAGGCTGAAGGAAATGATACTAAAGCGAAACTTGGAACTTCAGGAATAAAGGAAAAGCTAAGGAATTGGTAAATATCTGGGTAGATATTTTTTAAACTATTTTCATCTTAAATTCCTTAAAACACGTACAACTGTTGAAAGCAAAAGACGTAACATTGTCTGATAAGGTTTTCAATGTATACAGAAGTAATAATACATACATAGAGGTAATAATTGCATTATAAAACAAAAGCAGGGGAGCAGAATGACTTATATGGTTTTAAGGCTTATACATTTTACTTGAAGGGGTAATATATTAATTTTAAGTAGTCTGTAAATGGTTAGGTATGTATATTGTAATGCCTAGAGCCACCACTAGAAAAATAATATAAAGAAATATAGCCAAAAAGCCAATAAATAAAATGGAATATTAAAAATAATTAAGTATATAAAAGAAGGCAGGGAAAAGAAAATAAAAGAAATAAAAGAGATGGGGGGGCGCCTGGGTGGCTCAGTCGTTAAACGTCTGCCTTCAGCTCAGGTCATGATCCCAGGGTCCTGGGATAGAGCCCT